CTGCAAGTGCGTCTGAGCCAGCAGTTGATAGTATGCCATTATGGGTGGAGGCAACGGGTGGGGTGAAAAAAGGAAAAATATTTGGGATGGGATCCTTGTCAAGGATGTTCATGCCGAATCAAGCTGGAACTTCATCATCCAATGCGACTGGTCGAAGGAGGACACGACATGACGAGCAATTGACCCAAGAAGTGAACCAACTGAAAAATATAATTGTAGAGAGGGACGAAGAAATAAATGACTTGAAACAGTAAATGCAAATCGTTATGCGACACCTCAACATCAATAGCGATGAGGTTCCTCCTGTACCCCCTGCCAATCCAATAGGTGATGAGCACAATGATGAGCGACACAATGATGCTGACATTGATGATGATGCTATGATTTTCTCGGTCATTTCTAGTTAAAATTGCCAAAATCGGGGGTAAGCTTGCTTCACAATCTTATATGACATAAGTGCAGTTTCACCCAATTTGTTCCTGCCCTACAATTACTTTTTGTGCACAACTTTCTTACTGACAGGTTCAACGATCTAATTTTTCCTATGTGACAGAAATACGGTTTACAAGGGTGAAAAAACTACAGTGGATGTCAAAGTTGACTCATACTCATATGTAAGAACATTGATGTTCGTCCTGAAATGTTTTTTTGTTAACCCTCTTACTTGTTTTTTTATACCTAGTTCCACATCCATGCATAAGCACTTCTTTTATATTCTTGACTCATTGAATATCTTTATTTATGTATCTACATTTCATCAGGTGTCGACAAAAGTGACTGCTTTTGGTGTCCTGCCGAGTACCACAGCTGCCCAATCTTATGTCTGGTTTGTCGATTTTTCGTTTTCTAAGCAGAATCTATGGTTGTCCCGCCTCCTATGAATGTTTTGAATGTATTATAAGATTTGATATCAAATATCATCGTGTCAGGCTTTGCAACTTTGCATATATCATTATTTTTTGTGGGACTAGCATCTTTCCTTCAGTTACATTTTTCAATTATATGGCATTGTGTCTGGTTTGTTCGTTTTCTGTTTCTGAAGCGGAATCTATGGTTTTCTCGTGTCCTTTGATTGTTTTCAATGTATTACATGATGTTCATTAATGCGTAGCAATTGATATGGACAAGATTTGATGGCCGAAATGCTGTAAAATTTGCGACGAATATTTATATACGAATTTTGCGACCATTACAGTTCGTGGCTAATTTGTGACGATTAAGTAGCGACGAATCAAGTTCGTGCCTAATTTCCGTCCAATACATTTTGCGACGAATTTTGCGACGGATTTTGCTACGGATTTCGCGACGAATTTCACGACGAATTTTGCGATGAATAAAGTTCGTGGCTAATTTGCGACGAATTATTTGCGACGAATTTTGCGACGGATTTTGCGACGAAATTTGCAACGAATTTTGCGACGAATTTTGCGACGAAATTTACTACGAATTTTGCGACGAATTTTGCTACGAATTTTGCGACGAAATTTGCGACGAATTTTGCCACGAATTTTGCGACGAATTTTGCGACGAAATATTTGCGACGAACTTTGCGACGGATAGTGTTCGTGGCTAGTTTATGACGAATTTTGCGACGAATTTTTTTTCCGTCGCAAAAATTTGCGACGACCTAGTAGCGACGGAATTTTTTCCGTCGCTAAATTCGTCGCAAAAACGATTTGCGACGGATTTTTGCGATTTTTTCGTCGCAAAATCCATCGCAAAAAACATGTTTTTTTGTAGTGATAGGAGCGAGGAAGTTCGTCACCTTCGAGCTTGGCCCTATTGGTTGCGTCCCATCGTTCGCGAAGAAATCAAACCACGGCGGAGTATGCAATGGAGGATTGAACCTGCTAGTTTCCTACTTCAATCAGATGCTTCAACTGATGCTGCAGAACATGACATCCAGTCTTGCAGGATCAATGTTCGTTCTCGGTCGAGTGAATGGGATTGGCTATGACGCGATAATCAATCCCTCCAGATATGGTACGGACTCAACTCATATGAATCGAGAAAGGCTTACTCGATCAATCGATTCATGATTTTCACAGGCTTGGACTAAAATTGCATTCAATCATTCCTTATCGGGATTAAGTTCTCGGGATCGGATCCATCATAACCATTGGATCACATGACACCAGCTGTGGATCCAATGGCTGCTATTGGATCCGATCGGCGCCTGAACCCGAGTCCTGCTAAAATATTTTTACCGTGTTGAAACAGGCTTGACGGACTCGAGAAACCCTTTCTGCCCATCGTGGGGAAATGGAACCTTGACGTGCATTCCGTTGCGGACCCCGTGCCCCGACCACAATAAACGCTTCTTCTAAGACGGATATCATTTCACCGACGCGATGTGCTCGATCTTTGCTTCGCGGTGTTTCAACGACGCAAACGTTTGTTCTCCGGTCAGCATACAGCATCTCGTGAAGATATGAACATCTCATTTGATTAGTCCGGTCTAAGGCTGCTTATTATCTCTGGCCATCATGGCACAATGTAAAGGACAGTGCAATTGTTCTGTGGAGTTAGCGAATATAGAATAAATACTTCCGCTCAAATTTCTTATAAGTGAAATTTTCAGATACTTTTCTAAGGGGATAGTATGATTTTTTACATGTTGTCTGCCTAAAAAGTTATATTTACGGAATTTTTTTTTGTGCTGTTAAAATTTTTTTACTATTGTAAGTGTGAAAAGTAAAATAATGGTTAGTGATTTTTTTTTTTTGCAGATAATTTTTTGGTAACTTATCAACGTTTTTTTTTAAATAGTTTCCAAGTTACCAATTTCTATATTGACTTTACTACTCTTATTTACACAACTTCATAACATTTCGAATCTTATATGAATTTATCTACCTAAAAAATCCATTATTGCGAAATGAAACAGTGAAATCGTCTTTTCTAACTATGAAATGATGGCATAAATATTTATAAGTACAATTGCGGGATCGATTTGTCGTTAAGTTAGCGTGCTATTTACATTACGATGACGCAAAAAAATAGGTACATAAATTTCAAATCCATGAAATACGCCTTTCACCTTGTGAATTAGGTCACAATACCGAGTAATTTCACGTATCATCGTCACTTTAAACGAGAACAGTCTCTCCGATCGATACGACCGGATATTAGATTTCTCTTTGGATTTAATCAAGTCTTGACCATCAATAAATCAACACCATACTCCTTTTTATATTTCCTCTTAAGAATGTCCTCGTGATCTTTTATGGCGAAAAAAGGCGGGGAGGATCGAGTGGAGTAGTAGTCCCTGCCAAGCAAGTAACCCTTTTGTCCCCTCTAGGCGATGTAACGATAGTCCCGCACCCGCTATTAAATGTTCCATTTAAGTTAATACTATTTAATATCGCTCTTGAAGTTCGAAGCCTCGATCGATATTAACGAGTCCCATCGCAATTGGCCTGTGTGCTAGAGGCCACGAAGTCTTTTCCACAAGATGTAGCTCGTTCCCAAACAGCTCGAACTAGCTTACAGGCCGTCGGCCCTCAACACCACCAAGTTGCCTCTTGTCTCCGTGGAAGACAGACAATCTAAGATAACATTACATCATTATGACCGTTCATAATGTACAAAACATCGCAAAATGTGGCATTTTTCGTTTTATGACGTTTCTCATAACCAAATGCAAAGACGTCGTAAAACGAAAAGGTACTTAGCATGTACGAGAAAAAAGAACATTGGACAATCTCAAATTGACTTGATCTTAATCGCTTTTTTTGTTAACAAATAAAGCTTATCGTACGTCGATGAATTTCATATCCAGAAAGTACTTCGTTGATTTCATGAGTAAGGTAAGAGACAAGATGAAAGCAGTGAGAACCAGAAAATATCAGATTGTTTGCACCGAGCGGTAAACAGATGACGCGCGCCTGATTCATACGTGCATATCCATTCGTAGCCACCAAGCCAACCTCATGAGATTGTTTTGTTGGCCTTTTGAAGTCTTTGCAAACTTCTTGGACGCGCGTATCGATTCACTTTCGTTGTATTTTTCATTATTTATGGCAGTCAAATGAAACCCGATAGCATTTGCGTGTCGGCATGGCGATTAGCAAGTTTTAATAATAAAAAAAAAAAAAGAAGAATAAATAAAGAGCGTTCTCATCTTCTTGAAAAGGAAATCGAAAATTGTATTTCGAAAGTCAAAGGCCCAATGATGATCACCTGCTAAAGAAAGTTCTTGGGCCTGATTGATTCTCTGTTTGAATAACAAAGAACAAGAACAATCCAAGCTTTAATACCCAACGAAATTCGTTGATTTGTCTCTATCGGCGGTAGAATCTATCAATTTTTTGAGGCTATCTAGGATCACTTCATTCTCATCGTACTTGATAGGTTGGGTCGACACAGGTCGATTTCGACAAGAAAGTCAAATTGGCAATTCTTTAGTAACATGGAATTTCATAGAAGCATCAAATCTTCTTTTAAAGGGCTCACTCTAGGAGATAATAACTCTTTTCTTGATTAGAAACATATAACTTCGATATTGGTATCCGAACAACGTGAGCCATGGAACCGACCTGATCGGGTTTCCCTCGAATCGATATCCTCGACGCGGAAGTTACCCTTCTTCTTTTTCTTCTCTCAGTTTCAAAGTGTCGTGTCGCATCATATGACAAACAATAATCACAAACATAAACATGTTTCAGCTTGTATCATGGAAATTTCCTAATCTTTGCGCTTGGCATTCATATGTGTGCACCCCAAGTTACCATTCTTCATTCATAGCCCGAGGAATGCGGGTTAGGATTAGGCTTTAGGGTTAGGTGATAATCGCGTGCTGATTGGACAACTCACCAGGACGAAAGCAACAAAGGAATGGGAATGTGTGCTTCAGGTGTGATTCAGTGCTCCTAGTTCTCAGTTCATGGCCATGCTAAGGAGAAGCGGAATTCTCGCACAAGCTATACAAGCACACCCACAAGCAAAGCACGCGTTATGTGTTCATCACTTTCATGTGACCAAGTCCTCAACCCCTAAACAGTTTTCTCGTTTTCGAACTTTCCTCTTTCTCTCTGTCCGATCAAACGACTGATGTCGCGATCAATTGCGTGGTCGGGGACCATGAGAAATCACTCGCCGATGGTTTCTGCATTTTCTGCATTTTTGCTTGCGGTGATGCGACTTCAAATGCGAGTGGCGTGCTCGTCATCTTCAAGCCCGCTCGCACCGGCATTGTACGCTTTTGGGGATTCGCTGGTCGACAGCGGCAACAACAACCTGCTCCCCACCCTCGCCAAGGCTGATTATCTTCCTTACGGCAACAATTTCATGGGGGGTGTCACCGGACGATTCACCAACGGGAGGACCATCCCCGACTTCCTCGGTACATATTGAAATCTAACACTTCGATTCTCAGCTTCAAATATTTTTTTCTCCTTACCAATCAAACATTGTCGTAACTATATTGATTGCTAGGAATTGGTTGGATTTGCATTCTTTTTATTCCTTGTTTTTTACCAACATTTTCTCACAAATTTTCTTTATTTATCAGCTGAATTTCTGGGGCTTCCTTATCCACCACCATATCTGAGTTTTAGGACATCAGCAGCGATCACTGGACTGAATTTTGCGTCCGGGGCATGTGGCATTCTCCCTGAGACAGGAAATTACTTGGTATGAGCTCATTACCTGCCACTCCATTTTTAATTGCTAATTTGTTTCTAATCAGTTTATGTTCGACATATGCCTATTTCAGGTTTGTGCTAATTGATATTTGAAGTGCTCCTTGAGAAAGATAACAACGAAAATTTTGGATTAGAAACCGGTCTCAAAATTGAAGAATTATACATGCCATATGTGAAATGATATCTAACTTTGAGAAATTTGATCGTACGAAATGCGCGTGAAATTTCGCATGGACATAACAAGAAAAAAAGAAACGGAAATATCGTCGCAAAACCAGCTTGAATTGAACTTTGGAAACGCATGATATGGGAACTGTTTTTTGGCAGGGCAAATGTCTTAACTTGGGTGACCAAGTGAGGTTGTTTGAAAGTGCCGCCGTCGATGATTTACCGAGACTCTTCAAGAGCTCCGATGAGTTCTCCGGCTATTTGGACAAGTCGATCTTCGCCTTCTTGATTGGCAGCAACGACTACATCAGCAACTACCTCAATCCAACGCTCTACAGCACAAGCAAAACCTACGAGCCTCGGCCATTCGCGAAGCTCCTCGTTGCTGCGCTTTCTCAGCATCTAGAGGTACCCCGTGATCCTACCAACATGCCAATTTCATAACTAAATTTCCGGGAAAACATATTAATACGTTAGGGTTACTTATCGGAACATGAACATTTATATATGCTTATCATATCACGCATACACATGCATCTAAGTACTGCTCAGGTTGATAATGAGTCTTAGCAGATGTTGGGCAATATTGTTGCAGAGGTTATATAACATGGGAGCAAAGAAGTTTGTTGTCTTCCAGATTGGCCCGATTGGGTGCATCCCAACCATCGCGAAGAAATCGAACCACGATGGAGTATGCGATGGAGGACTGAACTTGCTAGTTTCCTACTTCAATCAAATGCTTCAACCGATGCTACAGAACATGACATCCAGTCTCTCAGGATCAATGTTCGTTCTCGGCCAAGCGAATTCGCTTGGCTACGATGCAATCATCAATCCATCCAAATACGGTACGGACTCAACTCATATGAATCAAAAAAGTCTTACCATGATCAAAATTACATTCAGTTATTCTTTACCAACTGTGAATCCAATGGCTGCTTTTAGATCCGATCCGCGCATGGACCCAAGTCCTGCTAAAATATTTTTATCATGTTGAAACAGGATTGACGGACTCAAGAAACCCTTGCTGCACAACATGGAGAAACGGAACCTTGTCGTGCGTTCCTTTTCGGACCCCGTGCCCTATTGCCGATAAACACTTCTTTTGGGACGGATACCATCCGACCGACGAGGCTTCCTCCATCATAGCTTCTCGGTGTTTCAATGACACAAAAGTTTGTTCTCCAGTCAGCATACAAGATCTCGTGCGGATATGAACATCTCATCTGATTAATCCTATCTAAGGCTGCTTATCATCTTGGGTTATCATCATTTACCAGGGGTCCTCTCTGGCATTTGTTTTCTTCGATTTAGGGGTCTTGGCATTGATTCCATAGTGCATAGGATCTTGGCATCTGGGGTTTATTGTTGGATTGTAAAGGACAGTGTACTTGTTGTATGTAGTTTGTGAACTTACAAAAAATATGTGCCCCATATGAATACTTCCTCGCATATTTCTTGCAAAGTGAAGTTTCCAGATTTTTCTCTAAGTAGATATCATTTCTTTTTACATGTTGTTTACCTACAAAATCTTATTGTTCCTTGCCTCAAAATACAGATTCCTTTCGTGCCCGTAAATTTCAATGAGCTTTGCAAGTGCGAAAAAACTATTAGTGAAAAAAAATGGGCAGTGACTTTTTAGCAGATAATTTGTTGATAACTTATCAACTCTTTTTTATAATTTCCAGATTATCGATTCTTTTACTAACTTTTCAACTTTTATTTATGTAACTTAACAATGTCTTGAATCTTATATGACACTACCTACTAAAAAGTCCGTTTTAGAGAAATAAAACAGACAAATTGTCTCGTCTAACTATGCAATGAGCGCATAACTACTTATTCGTACAATTAAAAGATCGGTTAGTCGTTAAGTTAGCCAAACGGATGCATAGTCAAAGAATATTTGGCTATTTATGTTACGATGACGAAGCAAAAAATAGGAACATAAATTTCAAAGCCATGAGATACCCCTTTTTTTTTATCTCATGAACTAGATTATAATACTATGTAATTTCACCTATCATCAACGCTTTAAACGAGAAAAGTCTCTGCATTGCGTTTTTCGATATTGACACGACAACTCGCTTCGGATTGAGCAGGGTCTTGGCTATCAATAAATCAACACAAGGTTAAAATAAAGGAAAAATAACACACATGGTCCCTGAACTTTAGCCTAATGTGCAATGTGGTCTCCGAACTTTTAATTTGTTCAATATGGTCCCTGAACTTTAACCCAATGTGCAATGTGATCCCTGAATTTTTAATTTATTCAATGTAGTCTCTGAACTTTTGTTACATATTCAATTTAGTCCATAAATTATATGTATATGTTCAATGTTGTCCCCGATCTTAAATTAATGGAATGACTATATTAAACATTTTCATATAATTCAGGGATTACATTGAACATGTTCCAAAAGTCCGGGGACCACATTGAACAAATTTAAAGTTCAAGGACCATATTGAATATTAGACTAAAGTTCAGGGACCACATTGCACAATGGGTCAAAGTTCAAGAATCATTTCCCAAGAATAAAAAAAGGGGGAAGAATCTATGTACTATATGGAATCTTGTACTGAATTCAGCATTGTGAAACACATGAAAATGAAAACTTTATTATAATCTTCTTCTTCACGTATAGGTCAAGGGACTTCACTTTCCTATATATTGGGTGGAGGGGGGGCCAAAATTGTGAGAACCTAAACCTATATTTATATGTACCTAAATCTTAGAGGGTCATGGCCTAAGGACCGATATATAAGTATGATATGTAAAGATGGAGCTTTGATTTGAGTCAATTTGATGGCTCGTGATTGTTGATGGGGGGCTTGCGCTTGGCCTTGGGAGGGCCTCTGTAGTCTTTGCGCATGAAGTTCGCAATCTCATCCTCTGTTGCTTCTGCGAGCCTCCTTGCTTCAGCTTCCATGGGATTCGTTTGACGATGAGGATGAGGATGAGAATGATGATGATCAAGTGATGGAGATGATCCTCGAGAGAAGCGCTGGCCAGACATTGGGGAACGACAATCCGAGCTGGCTTGATCAGAAGTGTCTGTCATTGGAGGGTGGAATGCTCCCTCACTCCTAGAGATTCCCATGCCAGTCTTCTGAAAATTAAGGGAAATTATTAATCACCGTAAGTTCCTCAATGATCTTTTTTTGTTTTTTTGTGGCTAGAAAGTTCCTTATATAATGACATGAATCATGGGAGAGGAAGAGAGAGAAGAATTAATCCTTAGGTAAATAAGATGTGTGTGGAGTCAATATGAACATGTATGCAATATGAACAAATTGAGGAATACTAGCCATTAAATGTCCGGTTTTCCATGAAGACCAAACAACCCGAATGAGTTAAATTTGTATCGACCATGTTGAGCTGATGTAAATTATATAATTTGCTTTCGCGTTACTCTCTAACACTTTCGATCAGTGCAGAACTGACTGTCCTAAAAGCTCATGTTTATAAGGGATTAGATAACTCGATTGGTATTTTATATCTTAACACGAAAAGAGGGGGAGACAGACCTGATTATTAGATGGGACCGCTCCTCTTTTGAGAGACCTCTTGGATGAATGCTCATCGTTTCCTACAAAAAGCAACGAACCATAAACAATGAACATATATTTCGACAGCTAGAACTGCAATGAGTCGATGGAGACATTTTCACATGTTTGGCAAATATCGCAGGGTAAGTAACCTCTGATGGTGCTTGCCATGATGATCATTAGCAACAGGTAATGAAAATAGATAACTAATGCTCCGTTCAAGAGTGATCAAAGTAAAGTTGCATTAGCATAGGCTTTTTGATATTTACAAGTTTCCACTTGGAAAACACCATCCTAATAACTGCACATTGGCATTTCAGTTATGTTTAGGAGGGTGAAACTTGGGGCCACGGTAGTCAGAAGTGGCAGCCACAAAGCTAGACTCTCGAGGATAATGTTTACAGTAATGATGTACATTACTAGAAACCCAAACCCTTTGGCCTTGAAATATGCATTTTCTCTCGGTTGGGGTTGCACCTGATGAAATCCCTGAATGAGTCCCTCCATTTTGCACTTGTTTCTTCTCATCGCCATCACTCCTTGGGGCTTCACGATGCATCATCATTTTCCTTCCATCTATTTCCGGTTTGCCCTCGCCAGGAGCTGGAAGATTACTCCCATGAAGCTGCTGTATATGTATATGTTCCACATTATTGACACAGAGCTGTATTCTTCAGAAAGAAAGCCACACGTTTTCTTGAAAAAAAAGTTCAACTCAAATAAATAGCTCGACACGCTCCAAAAAAAGGATCACATGAGATAACAATCTACCTTATGCACGGGCAAAACAAGATCATTGTTGTTAGACCGAAACCCTGAGAGAAGGAGAACAAAATATATGTAAGAAACTATCATCTGGGTGAACTTGAGCTTTTCTTATTTTGAACCATCAAAAGATAGAAAACATCGAGAGGTATGGTACCTTGACGAGCTTGTGCTAAGGAGCTTCTCATGCCATGCATGACCATGAAGAGAAACCCTAGCAGTACAAAGCTTCTTGTAAACCCTACTCTCGCCATGGCTGTATGTTTTCTTGCTTTTACTTTGTGTACAAGATTCTTGTTCTGAACATCCAGAAGAAAGGAGAGACATTGAAGAACACAAGAGTTGGTTTTATAGAGAGAGAGGGAGTGAGGGCGAGAGTTCAAACCCAGTTAGTCAAAGCAAAGCAAGAGGGTCTCCTCTCCGACACTTGTCAGCATAAAATATTACCACTGAAACATGCAGGGCTTCGTATTTCTCAAAGGCAACATGATTAAATATAAAGAAATCAGGAAAGAAAAATTGATCGGACTCTTGGAAAAAAAAAAGGTATTTGAATGGAGTTCTGCTTTGCATGGGTTCGATGGAAGATATGCGCGCTTGATTTTCTAAGTTTATGTTTCTGATTTCTGATGCTATTCTGCGCAGAACTAGATGGGGAGGATCGATTTGGTCCCACGCCAGCTTTGATTATCATGTTCATGTTGATGCACGTCTCTTTGTTTAAGGACACCTCACGCAGAAAAAAGAGTAGGAAGGAAGAAATCCTGAGATTTGTATTTAGTGGTTCAGTGACCTACAATCACTAGTGGACATCACAATATAATAGAACGAAATCTCAGTATTTTAAACGCGATAAGATAGCCCATTTGACATATTTCGTAGGTCATCCTCAAGATTTCTTTTTTGGTCGGTCATCCTCAAGATTATTTGGTGTCTTTTCCTCATTTCTTCATTGGGTTAGTTTAGCTTCTAAAGTGTTAATAAATAATCAATCAATTCTTAATTTAAATTGTTTGGTCATCAAGACTAAATGTCTCCGAGAACAGTGGCATGACCTATTCAATTTGAGACACAAAATCTTTTTATCATACTTGATTTCGAATCATTAGGATTTTTAGATGGCATATGTGTACATGTGTGGGCTCGCTAGTTAGAAGCGAAGTGGGAAATGAAGATGTAAGTATAATTCTTGTTTGAAAAGGTAACTCGTGTACAAAATACGCGACTAATTAGCATCCCTGCTTTACGAAACATTTTCCAATGGTTCCAAAGAGCAGACACTCGTATGTATCAATGAATAGCAAGAGTATAATTCATAGTACCATGAAAAACATGATGAGAAAGATGACATGAGCGAAGCAAAACTCTGTTTAACATGGACAATTTGAACTTGGATCCCATATGAAGTGATGAGAGATTGTGAAGGTTTAGGGTGCGTTTGGTAACCATTCTGTTCCCGGAAATAATTTCTGCTCATAAATGATTTTTTTTATTATGTTCTCGGAAACAATTTCTAGGCATTTGAAGGCGTTTGGTAATGGTCCAAAATTTCCATTACTGGAATAGAAAAATAACATAAATGCGTTTGATAACCGCATAAATTTTCTTTTTTATTAATAATATTTTTAAATATTTTAATATTTCTTTCTCTTTTTTTTTCTTTTTTTCTTCTTCTCCTTCTTGGCCATGGCCGGCCGATCGGCGAGGACGTCGCGGCCCTCGCCGGCGATGGCGAGGGCTGGACCCTTGCGGCTTGAGCGAGGGTCGCCCTCGCCCAGGCTACGAGCGACGAGGGCGGCTCTCGCCGGCCATTTCCAGCCCTTGCCTGAGCCGACAAGGGCCGCCCTTGAGGCTCGCTACCTGGGCAAGGGCCGCCCTCACCGAATCTAGCAAGGGTGGCCGCCGCCCAAGCCAGGGCCAGGGAGGGCGAGGGCAAGGGCGAGGGCGAGGGCTTGACCCTCACGGCCTGGGCGAGGGTGGCCTTCGCCCAGGCCGCGAACCTTACGGGTGGCCCTCACCAGCTCAGGTGAGGGCTAGAAATGGCCGACGAGGGCCGCCCTTGCCCGATCCGACGAGGGTGACCCTCGCCCAGACCGCGAGGGTCCAGCCCTTGCCTGTGGCCAGCAAGGGCCGCGACGTTCTCGCCGGCCCTGGCCTATGGCTGGCCGCCAGTCGCCAGCGACCCAGCCATGGCCAAGAAGAACAGGAAAGAAGAAAAAGAAAAAAATCTTTTCTATCTCATTCTTGTTCCTAGAATCAAGAAGCAAATTTTTTTTACTTCTTGATTCTGTTCCAAAACTGATTCTGGGAATAAATTTGTGCAAATTTGTGCCCGGGAACAAAAAATTTACCAAACGGATTTCTATTTCAAAACTGATTCTGGGAACAAAAGAATAGAATCAGTTACTATTTGGCTAGTTACCAAATGCACCCTTAGCTATACACTCTCCTGTATTTTAATTTTCACTGAGGAAGAATTAAATCCACAAAACCCCAATTGCAACGATTTTTAGCGGAACCAATAGAAAGGAAACAGTCCCCACACGGCATTAGCCTCAATTTAAGAGTTCAAACAACGTGGGCGGCCTGCTTTTTTTGTGCATTGAATTGCTAAAAAAGGGTATCAATCTTTTAACACTGTGTGTGCTTATATTAAAGTAATGAAATGGAAGGTACACGAGAACGTGGCCCTCAACTTGATACTTTGGCTGGCTCTTTGAGAACAGTGAAGTTCCCATAAGTCGGTTTCAGTGTCTTTCCCAAGACAGAAGAAGAGAGGGCATAGAGGCCACCGAGTTCTCAGATCATCAAGACTTGATAGCAAGGAATATAATTTCTCGGGCAACATCTTTATGTGAATTAACATCCTTAAAAAAGAGGCAAAAAAAAAAGTTTTAGAGAATGATTATGTGTCCAGTTCCTTCACTTTTAATGGAGTGACGGAGCCGGAGTGCCGGAGCCGTTTCCGCCACTCATTTCTTTGTACTTAAAAAATTATATAGAAAGTAAGTGGAGTTTCTCTTAATACCCACCTCGTTTAAAATGCAGTGAGTGATTGTCCTTACTCCATCACCGCACGAAAGTGATGGCACCGTCTTGTTAGCTTTTGATATATAATTTGATAATCTTTACGGGATAATGTTCCCAAATGGTCATATACATGTAACCAAGGATTCTCCTTAAAGAGAACAAGAACAAAAGTTGTTCGAATAAGATTCAAACTTGAGACTGCACACATTTTCAAAGAGATTACTTCAAATAAGAATCAAACTTGAGATGACACACCTTCTTTAAAGTTCAGTGTCACATATCCAGTCATCTTGTTGATAGTGTCACGCTAGTAATCTACATGAGCAAGTGCACTATAAATGCCAAAGAGTATCTTTGACTCGAGAATTTCTAGGAAGAAAACCTAATTAAGATAAAGTAAACCATGTTGTCTGCTTGAAGATATTTCATGGTAGGGTTTGTTTTCTCAATTTGAACAAGAAAGAAGAAGAAGAATGAACTCCACCGAAGAGAAAGAGGCACGTGGACACTGGGCGTGGCTCCTTTTACCAAAGCTTTTGTCTTCCCCTATGCGCCATTTGAGTACACATTGGAGTGGTACTTTTTCAAGATCTTTCATGAAGTATTGCACAAAACAATGGGTGAGGAAGCAAAAGGCTTTTTACGAGTTCCAAATGTTGGGAATTGGAGCTGTTTGTCGCTTAGAAAGTATAAGCTCACGAGAGTTTCCCTTTATTGGCGCAGTGGGGTACCCTTTTTTGGTACGGAAATGGAGCTTTTGAGGCACTTAGAGATTCTAATGTGGGTGCATGTGGGAGGTTTGCATCTGTTTTGCCCCGTGAAGGAGGTGGTGCGTTGTCGGATTCTCATGTCCCAATGTCGAAGATAAACGAGGAAAAAGAAATTTGTTTGTAAGGTGTACGTGAGGCCTTTGGTTTGGACCATATGTACAAGGAAAATGTTTGTAACATACGGTACAAGGACTTTGTCCCATGTATAGAGAGAGAGCATCACGAAAAACGATGTTAGTGGCAATCAAGCTTACTTTTAGACGTTCTAGTGAATGTGGTGCAGCGACACTAGGATGCGGAACCGGCGTTCGATCTGTCGATCAAGAGGTGGAAATTTTAGAACAACGAAGAGGACGGATCATCTGATGTTCGTTCATCGTGTCCGGAACACGAGCATAAAAGGACCAGACTATCTAGAGATTCTAGAACACTCCGCGGGTTCTATGGACCGATTATGTCTAGTCCACTAGACTATGTAAATAAATCCCATCCAAAGAAATTTGCACGTAATTTGTGAAATTCGATTCGATTTGCTTTGCTTTTATCAAGTCTTCATATCTCAATCCCTTCTTACATGCGGCTATGTTGACATTTTTGTATATTGTACGCAAACTTAATGTTGGTATATTTTTCATACTGCCTAAGGCTAAGTCGTGTTTTAAAATGATAAATAAAATGGAGACAAAGCGCGTATTTTGAAATTGAGCATGCCTCGCAAAGAAAAACCCCAGGAGGCAAAAGAGTATGATTCGGTAATTAAGAATGGAGATTAATTTTTCAAGAAAATCAAGAAATATAAGCGAAACAAACGGAGCTTAAGAATTAGTTTTTCAAGAGAATTGAGAAACATAAGATTAGATAGGCCAAAGCTTATGTTTTGCCTCGATCAATCTGAGCCTTTCATTCGCCTAATGGCATGGGATGGCGACTCTTACAGTTGGCATGCTCCCATAATTTAAGGAAACTTGGTTTCGATTTTTCTAGGGCTTATTTGGTGATTAATGATTGTTGTTGGTGATCAATCTTTAGTCTCACTTTATCATGCCCGTTTTGTATGTTATGATTAAATCTGTCTGCCACATTAATTACATAATTGACAATTCTATGAAAATTTTCGACGAAGATTGGAATCACGCTCATTTTTGAAGATTTTGGAAATCAAATCAAACCAACTCGTTTTTTCCTTTTTTGTTTTTTCCTTTTGCTATTTGAATCACTTGTCTGCATTTGGTCATCTGAATTTATAGCCACGATAGGAATGGATAGGATAGGATAGGATATGAAATCCAAGGGATTTGCTATATCTTATCTACTGTTTGGTTAATTGTGAAAATAAAGCTGGATATTTTCACATCTTATCATGTTCATTATTTGCTATGAATGTCATATCAGTGCAAATGAACCTAAAAATTGCACAAACGGAGATGATAAAAATCTCTCACAACACTCTTACCTACTTCTTTTTTATTTGCTTATTTTTTTAATTTTTCCCTCTCTTTTTTATTTTTTTTTATTTCTTTTTTCCCCTTCCATCATTCTCTAATAAAATTTTATTAAATAGTAAACTATACTAATATACCTAAAATATGTAATAAATATATATTAGTATTGATTTATATATATGAAATTTATATAACAAGATATAAAGAAAATTTGAATATATAAATAAACATAAGAATAGATAAAAACGAAATTATTTTTATTTTTTTGTTATTTTGAATTAATTTAACAAGTTTGTTATTCAAGAAAATTAAATTTTATGTTATGGATATTAGAAATCATATTCATCTTTATCTCACCTCCCCCATGGGATAATTTTATCCGGGTTATATCCCTCATTTATCCGACTTTATCCTATCTTGAGTAGACACCAAACACAAGATATGGTAAAATTTATCATATCCTAAATTTTATTCCAACTACCAAACGTAGCCTTGTTGTTGTTGAACTTATATGCCTCAATTCTCAAATTGGCTCTTGTTCCTCAAGGGAGCATGCTCGCAGATTGAGCGGTTGATGTTGGAGCTGTGAAAATATTGAGATGAACTATTGATTTGATGCGCCATGAAGATTTTTGTCCATATTAATTTCTTTAATTAAACTGATAGATTTGTATAATTTCATTGGGACCTAAAATTTTGGATACATATAATTTGCGTTGTCGGACTTGTAACCGGGTCGATTCTGGAATGTTTGTCTTTGATTTTAGTCTTTACTTTTTACATGTTACTTGCGAAAACTTGCGCTTCACGACGGGTATGCTTTTATGAAGAGTTGTTGCTTCGATATAAAAGAAAAGGGATGTTAAATCAAGTAAGAGAATTGTGTTTCATTATATCTAGATTATAAACCCTTTTTTTGTCTTTGGCCAACATCTCATGATTGCTAGAGTGATCCCTAGCCACTTTGCGAGGATTCCCCAAATGGAATATACCATGAACTTCTTGAAAAATATGAAAACAAACGAGAAAGTTATTTTAATTTTGATGTGGCCAACAGTGAGATAATTTTAGCACAAACTTTTAAAAAGAAGCATAAATTTATTATATCCACGAGATATATCCACGAGATAATTCTTTTGGAGAAATTGTAACACAGGTCAAAATTGTTGACATCAGTCCGTGTTTCAATGCACATGCCTCTTTGGACTAAGTCTTGCATGGACTAAACTCCATGGACCCAATTGAATTACAATCCTCGATCATGTGATATACGATAACGACATCCATGTCACGTAGACCCGAGTTCAAGCAAATACTCGTCTTCTTTTTCTTTTTTGGAAAGTCGAAAGTTCGTCCCGCACTAAACTTACGCCTCCGAGGACACTCGAAAGTTTGCAACAAAATTGTTCCTAGGGGGAAAGTGTATTATTTAAGTATTTTTTCCAATCTCTATAAACTCAATAAAAAAAATTTCAATAACTTTGTGTATAGCTTTTTTTTTTTAACATATCACCACAAGTTATAAAAAATATTTCAGTCAAGGAAAAAAAAACAAAAAAAAAAAACTCATATGGTGGGACAGACTCCAATCAGATCAACAGGCCCATGGGCCTCAAGGATGGATTTATATTTCCCTAGGGTTTGAGTTTCGCACCTGTTTTGTCTCTTTAAGCTCGCGCACAAGCTCTTCTTGCTCTCCATCTTGTCGAACCTGCGATTCCTTATTCTGCGTTAGCTCCGGTACGTCGCCGATCTTGGCCTTCGTCTTCTGCGCTCCATGTTCTTTCTTGAGAATTTTCTGTAGCTTTGTTATTGCTTTCGTCCGAAGACAGCCGTCGACAAGCTTCTTTGCTTGGATTAGGTTTGATCTTTGTCTTTTTTTTCAAGAATCGAACGACGGCGCAATCTGTCGAAAAATCTGTTCTTTCGATTTGAAACTGTTAATTAGATTGGATTCCTTTATTGGGTTCTCTTTGTTTTTGCGAATTGAAACCGGTTTCGGAAAAGCTAGGCGGACGCAATTTGTCCGGACTAGGTTTCTGTCTTGTCGGGAAATAAATCAGAATTGTTTAGATAGGGGTTCTTGCCTTTCTCTGATGCTGGTAAGTTCTTGTGTATGAATTTCATGGCGCTTGTCTCTTGTATTGCTCATGTCTTGTTCTCCACTTTGTGATTGCTCTTTGGTGCCCTCACTCCAATGCCTTTTTTCTGCAGTAGTTATGGCTGACGAGAATTCCAGCAATGTCAAGGAGGAGGTGGCGGAAGTAAGTTTACTTTTCTCTTTAATTATCGGAAGATATATGCTGAATCATGGTATTTCAATTTATGCGAGTTTTGCTTTTTTTTTTTTTTATTGTTTATTGAAGTTCTGCCGCCTGAAGCAGCAGATTAGATTCTTTTATCAGCCAAGTAGATGACAAAGCTGTTGCTTTAAGCGATTGAATGATTCGCACTCACGAGGGTGATACTTTGGATGAGCCTCGGAGATTAGGCTTGCCACTTGTCAGAACTGAATGATAGGGTTAGGATGTCATTGTGGGGAAGGGTTAGTTTGTCTCTGAGTAGATGATGATTACCTTATAGAAGCATACGACATCACTTGATTGTTTTGTAATCAAATTGCGGGTTTTTTTGCAGTAGCACATGCTTTCTTCAAAATCACACCAGTCAACTGTATAATGGCAATTTCTGCTGCTTTTGTTATTTGCTATTTCAGTACTAGATAGATGTCTACATAGCTAGATGTACTGTGGGCCATCTCTATTGGTAGGTAATGGGCTGTCTGAGATTGCAGTTTACTGATTTTTCCCTGCATTGTAGCTTGCCCCATTCGATCCTACTAAGAAGAAAAAGAAGAAGAAGAATGTGATTCAGGACCTTGCAGATGATTCGGTGGATAAGTTGGCTGAAAAAACGGAGAATCTGTCAGGTAAGATGAGTGGACGCTCATTATTTTACTGCAAGCACATTTTCTTCTACAATTGATGAGACATATTGTAGTGCATTCTCCTTAGCTTTTCAGTCTAATCTCCTCTTTTAATCACTTTATGCAGTTTCTGATGGTCTTGATAATAGTTTTGCTGGTCTGAAGAAGAAGAAAAAGAAACCAGTGAGTCTGGAGGCTTTTAAATATTTCAATTTCAATTTCAGTTTAGTGTGAATGGCAGTACTGCAGTAGGAGGTATTCACTTGTTATGACTCTTGTAGGTCGAGACTAGCACAATGAATGATGAAAATGAGGGGCCAAGGGAAGATCATGATGGTAAGAATGCTTCACGATAAAGTCTCATACAGAACATGTGTCTCCAAGTATCGGAACTGATTTCCTCTTGGCACTTTTAGATCATCCTGGGGAGGATGATGAAGGAGAAGGAGCTCCCCTTCAGGAAAGGTACCCTTGGGAAGGCAGCGATAAGGATTACGAATATGAGGAGGTATATCTCTGATAATGATGTTAATTCTGATTGTTATAGGTATGTGCATATGTGGGGTCTTCCCACCCCCTCATACCCCCTCCCTCTCCTTTCCTCCGAGTCCCCAGGTATTCTATTGCCATGAACAACAGTGTCGAGATTGTATTTCCTTCTTCGAGTCTACTTATGTTTGTGTTCTTTAATATTTTGTTGTAGCAGTGCCCCTAGCTCAGTCAGCGTATGCTTGCATGTGTTTGTCGTGCTGGTTATATACGTGTTTACAATGGTTCTTCCTTGTTTGTGTTTTTAATGCTGTGTCCAATGAGCTTCCCTTCCAACCAAAAAAAAAATGAGCTTCCTTCTTATATCTCGAAACTTCCATTTCATGTGGCCGAAGCACTTGAGTGTGATCTATCTCTACCACAGTTTCTTTCCAAATGAAATGCATGGCCTTTTTTTTGACGAACTTCTTTTTCAGCTTCTAAGTAGGGTGTTCAACATTCTTCGTGAGAATAATCCGGAGCTTGCGGGAGATAGGCGTAGGACAGTTATGAGGCCTCCACAAGTCCTACGTGAGGGAACAAAGAAAACAGTCTTCGTGAATTTCATGGATCTTTGCAAGACGTACGTTTACCTTTATTACTTTTACCCTTTGCATGCTAGAATTCATGAGGAATTCATTAGCATTAGTAGCTAGTTATTGCTTTGATATCTATATCAGTAGCTAATCGGATCTCTGCGTGTGCTCACATTTTACTTATTTCAACATAAGCCTCTATATTTCCTTTTCCAGGAAAGTGATTATGGTTTTTCTTTTCCGGCTATTTTGAGCTCAACTTCCTCTTCTAATTTGGGAATTGTTACATAGGATGCATCGACAGCCGGACCATGTGATGGCCTTCTTACTAGCAGAACTGGGAACAAGTGGATCTCTTGATGGACAACAAAGATTAGTTGTTAAAGGCCGATTTGCCCCAAAGAATTTTGAAGGAATACTGCGACGATACATCAGTAAGCAACTTACCGAGGCAATATATCATGTTTTCGTATGCAATGAATGACCTTTAATGGTGGTTTGTGCTGCCTTGTTTGTCTGGCTTTCTTGGAGATAGTACACACATTTTGAAATGATCTGGCCGGCAAAACTAATTCTTGCATTTAGATGTACTTTTTACTTCCCTTTTGGATTTCCTTTGTGAAAGTTCTAAGAACTTCTGAGTCACTATCAGCATGCAAAGTGGAGATGATGCAGAATAGATTATTACTATCTATGTAAGGATTTGTTTTTGTTTTCTTTTAATCAACATGGCAGTTAGCACTTTGGATTAGTCGGAACTAGCTTTTGGTTTGCATCAGTCTTTCCAAAGCAATTGTATATCTGAAGCAAGCTTTATCTCACCCTTCATTTGGTTATTATTTTCTGATAAGTTTTGTACAGCACTTTACTTTCACCCTTTATCTAGTTCCTGTTTCTGATAAGTTTTGTTTGCTCCTTTCTGTTTTCCTCCTATAAAGCACATCTTGCATCCTAGTCTTTGATATATATTTATCCTGGTATATGTCATTCTTGTTCTAAGACATCGTCGCCACTGACAACATTCCCCTCTTTTTAACTAGATGAGTATGTTATCTGCCTTGGATGCAAGAGTCCAGACACAATACTTTCAAAGGAGAATCGGCTTTTCTTTCTCAGATGTGAGAAGGTAAAATATCACTACTGCTATACATTTTTGGTATTTCAGTCAAATATCCATTTAAGAGGACTCTGTTTCTCTATAATTGCAGTAAAGGACTTATTCTTGTTTTTATGTTGGGCCGCCTGTTTTTGTGGCTGCCTTTCTCTTTCAATTATTTTATCTGAGACACAGGAAAAGAAGGAAAAGTTCTGTAGCATGGTTACCTGCACTGGATATTCTTGAATGAGTAGAAAATCACAGCATATGTAATTTGGTTTATATCGTTGGAATGTTAAGTTGAAACAGCAGCACAAATAATTGTCTCGGCTCTGCACCCCTCTCTCTCTCTTGTATTGCCAATATAAAATATTAAAATCTCTTGCAGTGGTTAACATCTTGAGCGCCCTTTCTTGTTGGACAGTGTGGTTCTGGACGATCTGTTGCTCCAATTAAAGCTGGATTCGTCGCTCGTGTTGGCCGAAGAAATGCTGGGACTTGATCTCTCAAACTTTTGTTTCTCTTCATGCAATAATAGATACGAGTCTTGTCTGTTCTTGCCTCTTTTTTTCCCTTTTTTGGGATGGTATCTATTATGTGTGTTACTCCATGATTTTGACTGACACTACTAAATTAAATGTTATGTTATTGTGGATGTGAAGATCTTATGCAGCAATTACTTTTATTTGGCTTCTTTTTTATAATCTTGGTGAGGCACATGCTGACATTATCGGCTTGATCAAACATCGGGTGCATGATGTATGATTTCTTATGTTCTGTTCCGCAGCATGTGCATGCTTAAGCTAAATTGATTCCATGGCTTGACTATTAAGTTATATGAAAATGTCATTGGTTACTGGACTTCCTGCGAAAGAATGGCTGTAAAGCAATGATAATGACCGAAAAAAGATTCGGGCTTATGTTATTCGGGTAACACCAAGTGATGAAGCTTTTGCACATTCTAGTTGACAAGATTGTATGGACATTTCTTACTCTTCTTAGCTGCTGACGAGCCAGCGAATGGCAACTTTAGCTTAGATAATCTATTATGGTTCATGAAGATGGCTTTGTGGGGATAAGCAAACTCTCTCTCTCTCTCTCTCTGAACTCAGAGCATTGAAACTTGATGAATTATCCATCTTTTTCAGACTTAAGCTGTGAGTCCTAATGGCTCACTTCAGGTGCCATAGAAGGCCCATCCCCATGTAGGGGGCCTGTATAAAACTTTTGATTCTAGCTTGTTCTACTCCTCGGGCAGATTCTTTAGGCTTGAGCGGAAATTCCAGGGATGGGATCATGGGACTGAATGTCAAAGAAAATATCAGAAGCAATGAATGGATTGGCGTTGGCCTCTTCAATTTTTAATCTTGCTTTGACCCAACTCAATGTCGCCTTCCCATTATGACCAATCCTCCCTACTTGCGTGACTCTTGGAGTAAATGTGTGTGGATCCATTTTCGTTTTTGGCTTTTTCCTTGGACGATTGCATGTATCTTTCAAGCACCCTGTTCCTGATAAGGCATCCTTATGTGTTGGTCGTCATGTATCCACTAATTGAATTCGGTCATTGGCGAATTCTGTCCATACCATTTCTTGGGAAAGCATGAAATAAATATCCGACTTAAGTTATCATTATTGTTTGAATTATGCGTTGGAAGAATCCATCTCTCGCGAGACAATGACGAGGTCATTTGATTTTTAGTATCAGTGCTGAAGTCAAGTACTGTCTTTTTTATTGTTAAACCCTTTCCATTAGATTGCTAGCAGAGATTGTGGACTTACGTACTGTCTTTCCTTTTTCCTTTCCGGTTCCTTTTTCCCATTCTGTCTAGTCAAGCCAAGATCCAAACAAGCAGATCTAGGCTGATAATGGATGGAGGGGGAGAGATATTAAATACAAAAGATGAAAAAAAGAATGAAGAACTCGACATAAACAATGGAATCACAGCCAGGGCAGTTGCAGGAGGTGTCCACCCTTCTGCCCACCCATTTCTCTATTATATCTCTTTGGTCGGAAACAGAAGAAATAGAGCTGTCCAATGTCTTCAGATAGTCCACTTCCAGCCGTTACACGGATCCAAACAAACGAGGTTCAAAAACATGAGAAGAAAAACGAAACAATTTGATTAGCATAACTAAGTAATTCTTCACATCGAAAAACAATCAGAAAACAGATGGAGCTGCTTTCAATGGAAACACCACAGCACCCAGTGCATCTCCTCCATTGCCAAATTGGTAAACTCATCTTTGATTCGGATCACCGCATTCACGCATTTACTTGCGATCGCCACGGAGTAATCTCGAATACAGCGATACTCGAGCGGATGCGAGACGAATTATCATGTTCAAGAAGGATGAATCGGGTAGGCAAAAGATTCCTCTCTCAAAAGGTTGAGTGTTCGAATCCCGGGCGCCGCAGGGTGACTTAACCGGTGGCACGTGTGTGGTGGCTAGCACGTGTCGCCCCCAAAGTTTACTCCCCGGTTGTCGGCCGTGCGGGGGTTCCTTGGGTTATAAAAAAAAAAAAATCGGGTAGTCAAAATATTCATTTTTTAAGATTTTTGGGTGTTGGGGGGAAGAGACAAAACACTTGTGATGAGATCAACCCTTAGCCCCCCTCATTGCGAGAGAATAAAAAATTGAACAGAAACGAGTGAGAAACAGCTTCTCTGTTCACAACATCAACATCAACATCAACATCAACATCCCACGCTGTCGCCAAACCAACTCCCCAAAGACTTTGATAATCAACTCAAATCAAATCAAATCAAATCACGGTGTTTCTCTCTTGCAGATAAAGAGAGAGAGGGAAAGAAAATTTCACATCACACGTGCCACCTTCCATTTCCACGCCGGGAAATCCTCAGGCACTTTCCTTCTCTTCTTCTTCCTCCTCCTCCTCCTCAGCACCCCACCCTGCACTTTCTCGCTCCCCCACCCCAAAACAAGCCCAACCCTAGAAAGATCTCCCCCACCGCTTTCTCTAGCTCGCTTTCTCGCTTCCCAAGCACTTGCCCTCGAAGCCCCTCCTTCCACTCGAGTGGCATCACTGTTCAAAACTGGCCCTTTTTGTGGACCTCATGATCCACATCTGAATTAAAATCTCAGACGCATCTCTCTCTCTCTCTCATGGGTCCTAATCAAAATCTGTCCTTTTAACCGTTTTAAGAAAGAAGATCCCATTCCACTGTACTTGCGAGAGGACCCACCAATTAGTTTTGCGCTGAAGTTGCGGAATTTCTGATGGGGGCGATGACGTCGGCGATGGCGGCCAAGTTCGCGTTCTTCCCGCCGACGCCGCCGTCGTACGAGGTGGCGAGGGACGAGGTCACGGGGAAGCTGAGGGTGACCGGAGTGAGCGTGAAGGAGAACGTCGACGTCTTGAGCTTGCCCACGAAGAGAGGGAACGAGATCGTGGCTCTGTACATAAAGAACCCGGTGGCCGCGTTGACCGTGCTGTATTCGCACGGTAATGCGGCCGATCTGGGTCAGATGTACGAGCTGTTTAGTGAGCTCAGTGTGCATCTGCGAGTCAACCTTATGGGGTTAGTTTGTTTCTTGGGTTTTTTCTTTTGTGTGATTTTGTGTTCACTTGATAGATTAGTTTGGTTAATGGTGTGTTGGTTGATTTTTGGAAGGTATGACTACTCTGGATATGGCCGGTCCACCGGAAAGGTAAGGTGATTTGGTTTCCTCATGCTCTGTCTGTTTTTGTGTGGAGAGGTGAAAGGGTTCTGGTTGTTACTGTCTCACTAATATGTGAACCATGTGTTTCCTATTTTATAACACTGCTTGAAGAATAGCATATAGCCCATTGGAAGTGTGGATGTTAGATCCTGTCTTCCTTAATTAACCATTAATGGAGTTCTCACAAAGAATAGCATATAGCCCATTGCTGAGCTGAATGAGCTGTGAGTGAAAGATGAAAACCAAAGTGGGCATTCTTGTTAAATTGAATCTGTCTTGTATGGGATAAGTTTTGCCATGAGTTTCTGTTGAGGGGAGTTTTCTGATTAGTTCTGCTCTGGACAGCCAAGTGAGCAGAACACGTATTACGACATCGAAGCGGCTTATAGATGCCTTGTAGAGAAGTACGGGGCGAAGGAAGAAGATGTTATCTTGTACGGGCAATCGGTCGGCAGTGGACCAACTCTTGATTTGGCCACCCGGTTACCAAGACTGAGGGCTGTTGTCCTCCACAGTCCGATTCTATCTGGGCTTAGAGTCATGTATCCGGTGAAGAGAACATATTGGTTTGACATTTACAAGGTTTCGTATTATCTCTGTGAGTTGATTCTTTGTCATTTTTCTTTTCTTCGCCTTAATTTGGTTTAGTGATTGCCTTCTCCATGTATGGTGCAGAATATCGACAAAATACCATATGTCACCTGTCCTGTTCTGGTGATACATGTAAGTTTTTCTATGAATTTCAGATGTGAGGCTTTGTTATGCGAAGTAGCTTTTGATGTAAGCTTACTGCGATAAGATCTTCATATTGCGAGAGATGTCACTATGGATAATTACAACTACTACCTAAGTTTTTCTCGCTTAGAGACTTACTCAGCTAGCCAATGGGATGATCTTTTTTCATTAGTGTAAATTGATAGTTATGTTGATGGTTAACTACTTCTTGCACTTGATTGAGTTTTACCATATTGCCTTGTGCATTTGATGGGCTACAGGTCATGCTTTTTATGATTTTTTCACTTTCCTGTATTTTCTCTACAGCAAGATTGTCGAGCTTGAAAGTTTGAAAGAATTATATAGTAGTGGATTAAGAATCCCCTTGCCTGTAACACATGGGAATTTATATAGTAAATTATGAAGTTCAGTGACTTCTATGATTGCGTAAAGCATGGGGATGTCGTGGTGTAGAAAAGTCAATGCCATTTTGTATCTTTATTGGAGTTACTTTACATTTTTTAGGGGCAAAAAGAAGAGCCTACTGTTTGTAGGAGTAGTCATGAAGGGCATTATAATCCGTAAAGCAGCTAGTTCAATTAGTGTTCTAGAAAAAGTAGATCATGATGCACATATTTTCTGCAGAGATTAATGATGGAAAGTATCTTTTGCATTACAACTTGCAATTTTGCAATTTTTGACGTGCCACGTTTTAGATGAGAGCCTCGCATTATTTTGTTCTTTTAGTTGAATTTTGTGTGCGTGTTTTCACCTTCTACTGAACCCTGGTGTAAATGGCTACTTTGTGTTTGAGAGCTTCTGTAAATTGCTTGGAGACAAATGTTATCTCCACTGGGCCGTTTTTAATGCTGTCACTAATGGCATATCTCAGTTCTATAATACTTTATTTGTCTATGTCATTGGAATGATTAGTCCTGTTGAGAGAAAATTGAATGGAATGTTATGCAATGGACTTTGGAATAAGTCATAATTAATGTGTATTTTTTACTTTCTTTAGTTAAGAGACTTATCAAGTCCACCCTAAATCCCACATTTTACATGGCTGCTGAAATTTTGAACCTTGTTTCTTTTGTTAAAATGGAAAACTCTTGGTTTCTATGCGGCTCTCGAATTTTTGTTTGGTGAAGGATGGACCGTCAACTTCTTTTCAGAAAACAATTTAGACATTACAGGAAATATAGCGCAAACTTGCTAATCCAGTCTCGGCATTTTGGATGTAGGGAACGACGGATGATGTGGTGGACTGGTCCCACGGAAAGAAGCTGTGGGAGCTTTGTAAAGAGAAGTATGAACCACTATGGATCAAAGGGGGGAATCATTGTGACCTGGAACTTTACCCGCAATACATAAAGCATCTTAAAAAGTTCATATCAGCCATCGAGAAAGCGCCTCATTTGAGGAATAAACCTGCTCTAATTGGAGATCAGCCAGAGAACCCTCGGACTAGCACGGACTTCAGAGAAAAATCCAGATCAAGCACGGATAAACGAGAGAAATCGAGGCCTAGCACCGATCAGAGAGAGAGGCCGAGGTTAAGCACAGATCGAAGGGAAAAATCAAGAGCCAGCGTTGAAAAAAGAGAAAAGTCACAAAAGAGTGTAGAATTCCCTGAGAAAGTAAGTAATGGCACCGATCAGCCAGAAAAGGCGAGGAACAGCATTGACCGGTAAGCTTTAGCTATATAAGTATATGTTCTGAGTTGTTTATGATTCTGTGGAAAACTATTCTGCATCTGCAAGTGGCCACTTGAATAGGAGCATGTCATCTTGACTTCGGTGATGCCACTGTTTTTTTTTGCAGTTTTGGAGGCATAGTGAGATCAAGGTTGCGCAATATAGATTGCTTCAAGCCCCCGGCAACAGGTGTATGATGAAGGAAGGTTTAATTTCAAGATATTTGGAATGTATTTATGCATTTCGTCAATTTAATTTATTTGTTGTCGGGTAATTTTGAATAGGAAAATTAATTAGGCTAATGTATGAAATGAATTCAACAGGCAAGTTATTTATTTCAAATAGTTGTCTGTCTTGCAAGTATAAGGAAAAGAAATATTTTCTTATTCAGATGAATAAAATTGGATCTCTCTCTCTCTCTCTCTCTCTCTCTTTGTGTGAGCACGGGAGCATGGGTGTGTGTTTTCGTCTTTTGGCATTGGGGGGTTGTCGATCTTGGAAAATAGTCCAAGCAATCGCTAGCATCTCTTGTTCGTGCAATGTATATGGATTTTGCCATTTAACCTAAATATGCCAGTGAGCCAAGCTTTTTATGTTATTTGTTCAAGTTTTGAGTTCAGCTCGGGTACCTTTCGAAGCAATCTGAGTATGCCTTGAGCGCTGCCCGAGCTTATTGAGTGTATAGTTAAGTGTTAAAAATACTTGTGCCTCTACTCTTTTCACCATTTACTGGCTTCTCTCTAATGTTTCTATGACCTGAAGCCCAGTTGCAGATAATTTTTCTGCAGAAATTAAGTTGAAGGGGTTCATTCATCTTCTGTTCCTTCTTGCTTTTGTATGTCCAGTCTGAGGTTTCAAGCCCTTTTGTTCTCCTTTCAGGTCGATATTTCTCTTACCCTATGGCTTGTTCTCAAAGGAGAACCGATGTACGTGGATTGAGGCTCCTCTTGCATGGTCGAACCGGGCAGTTATTCAGATTGATGAAGTTTCTGTAGTCTGAGTTATGGTTGTAGACTGTAGATTATGTACAGTAGGGTCGTCTTCCGCGTGTCTTTGAATCTAGTTCATGTGCTGCTAGGATTTGCTTGTTTCTGAAGTGTTTTTTGTTTAGTTAGTTATATCTGCGGTTTAAAATCTGGGAAGAATGTACACAAAAGGATCTTGGGTATGTTTCGATAAAGATAATGACATAAATGGTCCTTTAACTTTGGCTTAATATGCAATGTGGTCCTTGCACTTTTAATTTGTTCAATGTGGTCCTTGAACTTTAACTCGATATGCAATGTGATTTCTAAACTTTTAATTTGTTCAATATGGACCTTAAATTTTTGGTACATATTCAATTTCGTTCCTTAATTATATGAAAATGTTTAATATTGCTTTTCCATTAATTCATGGATCAAATTGAACATTTTCATATAATTAATTAAAAATTCAGGGATCACGTTGCGTATTATGCTACAAATTTTAGAAATTGAGTACACTTATCGCGAGAAAAATCAGTGCATGGAGAATTTTACCATCTCTTTATTTGGGCCATTTAACAAGTGTTTAAGGGTTATTTTTTACAAAATCTGTACTTGGTGGTTAATTTCTTACCGGGAGGAATCATTTGTGGTTGACTGAGGATCAATTTCGAGGGCACCGCAGGTCAGATTTATCTTGAGCGCATTGAGGATCTTTTCAAAATGTTGGCCATGTATGAAAATTGAATCCGATTCAATCAAAAGTGTAGTTGGCTGGAAAAAAGAAGTTTAGTTTGAGTTTTGTTTGGAGCATTATATATTTGAGTCGAGTCGGGTTTGAGCTGCTTTCATTAGGCCTAGTGTCGGGCATATCATATCGAGTGTGGCTCTGCTTGCATGCACATGCCTGAATGAAATTATTTTGATAAGATACGACATAGCATGGTACCAAATGAACATGCACGAGACAGCGCTTTCATTAACCGATGGGCAAATATACAGGTGAATACTACGACGCTTGAGTGAGATACATGGGGGTACGAATACTAATAGTTGCATTCCTTAAAAATGACATAATTTCACAGCCAAAAAACCATTAAATATATTTCCAATGAGTAAATAAGTTAAACCTCAGAGAACTTTTACTCGAGTATTATAAAATGCCACATGAGTGTCGTCCATGTATAAATTGCTTCATTAGAAAAAAGAAACAGTTATTTCTTTTCCATAAATCCGCAAGAGAAGGAAGCTTTGTTAATAAGAGAAAATGACACAAAAAAACGGCACAAATGATTTATAAACTTTGGCTCAATGTGTAATGTGGTCACTGAAATTTCAGTTTATTTAACGCGGTCCCTAAACTTCACCTCAATAGGTAATGTGATCTTAAAGCTTTCAATTTATTCAACGTGACCCCTGAACTTTTGACATATATTCATACTAGTCTCTATATTGTGTGAAAATAATTTATGTACAGTATTAGATTAAAATTCAAAAATCGTATTAAATAAATTAAAAATTTAAGGATCATGTTGTATATTAAATGAAAGTTGATGGACCATTTAGAAGAAGCAGGAAAGGAGGGGAGAAACCGGCATGAGTGTGGCGACACAGCCAAAGGTTCAAGCAGGGTTTTAAGGTCGGCGCGGCTGCTCCTACCTCCTCCTCCTCCTCCCTACTTCTTCTTCTTCTTCTTCTTCTTCTTCTTCGTCGCGCCGCGCTCTATGAAGTTCCCTGCCGCTACGCCCACTCCACCCTCGCTCTCTCCTCCTCCTCCGTCTCTCTTCCACTTTCATGTCCATCTCTAAGCCCCCCATTCCCTTCCTCGCCGCCTCCCGTTCCGTACCCTTCCTCCCGATCGCCGCTCGCCGGACCCCCCGCGTCCGCCCGTCCCCGGTCATGTGGCGGACCGTCGCCAGGCTCGCCGTCTCGGGGGTGCCGAGGCGGGTCCCCGCCGCCGCCGCCGGCTCCCGCCGTTGCTCCCGCGCCTGCAGCTTCCTCGGCCTCCCTCCGGAGCCGGCTGCCGATTCCGGTAAGCTCAGGCTCAAGGAGTTCGAGATGGGGCGGTCGGTGGTGGGCTTGGGTTTTCCGGAGGTCCTCCCGCGTGGTCGGGGCGGGGAGGTCTCGTCGAATGAGGATTTCGCGGGGCGGCCCAGCTTCGGGCTGGGGCTGAATGGGTTCTGCCCCAAGGGGTACGCGAGCGTGGCGGAGGCCGAGGTGGTGTCTTCGACGGATGTAGAGGAGGACGTCTCGGTTGCCGAGGAGGAGGAGGTGAAGGAGCTGTTGGTGGAGATGACCAAGGCGGAGAGGAAAGAGAAGGTGTATTGGAATAGGCAGCGGAATTTGGCCGCCAGAGGAATGGGGAGCACGAAGTATCACAGGCTGAGGAGGAGGCAAGTGAAGGCCGAGTGCGAGGCGTGGCAGCGGGCGGCCAATGAGTATAAGGAGCTGTTGAATGATATGTGCGAGCACAAGCTGGCTCCGAATCTGCCGTATATGAAGTCTCTGTTTTTAGGCTGGTTCGAGCCTCTGCGGAATGCCATTGCCGATGAGCAAGAGTCCTACAGGTCGGGCAAGAGGAAGACTGCTTATGCGCGTTTCTTCGATCAGTTGCCGGCGGATATGATGGCAGTGATCACGATGCATAAATTGATCGCGCTGATGATGACTGGACGTGAACATGGCCATGGCCACGCCCGAGTTATACAGGCAGCTTGCACGATAGGCGACGCGGTTGAGCAGGAGGTAACCCTGTTTAATCTATACTTTTATGCCGCTAGTTGTTTCGATTTTCGCAGCAATTTGGTACTCCTGAATTTCTTTGTTTATTTTCCTTTTCAAATAAAGAACCGTTCTCAATGATTCCTGTGAAGGGAGGTTTGCATCTATATGGTAAGACATACTTTTTCCCTCTAGCTGTGCCGAGTTGATATGTAATAACTGCAAACTACTTAGACCAACTTCAAGACTGTCGTTAATATCTAGGTTTTGTAGCCCAAGGAATTGCAGAATCTAATAACTTCTCAAATGCTTTTCCCATATTTTACTTTAGAAAATTGTGGCGACACACCTTCGTGAATTGATGCTAATATAGATGTCCTTTTGTTTTTACTATCTGAGCCAACCATCTTCTCGTGGCTGTTGTTGCTTGCTCATTTTCATTATGTTTTATGCCATCAAGAGTAATGGAAGTTTCTGTTATCAATTTGTGATTGTGCCATGAAATGGAAGGTTCACGTTAGAACTTTAGAAGAACTGAACAAGTGTGAGGGTTTTTTGGGTAAAATGGCTGTCATCTGGTGTAAGCGACCCATAGGATGTTGGTGTGATAAGTGGACTCCTCTTCCCCTCCCCTCCCCTGGCCGCAATAATTGGGGTTTTTTTTAGGAGCGGTTTCGTTCTGATTATCGTTTTTCAAGTCATTGTGGTGGAAATGAGAGAAGCGTGCATGATTGGGTTGCTGATATACATGTTACTCATCTGTATACATGAATACTGAAAAGGATGCAATCCCATGGTGCATATGAAGAAATCAAACGTCAACTTTTCATGATCTATATATAGCATGTATCTTTTTTTTTCATGTGCCCCACGCCAGCTAAACCATAAAAATATGGTTCCTTGGTTATGCCTTGGGCATAATTTTTCCTCCAGACTGATTTCTTATCATCATAGCTTCTGCAATTTGTCAGGTTAGAATACAAAGTTTCTTGGAGAAAACAAAAAAGAAGAAGGTAAAAGAAGATGATGAGGACAGAAGAGATGGAACAAATGCAGCATCCCAGGAGCAAGAGAAGTTACAAGAGAAGTTAAGGCACAAAGTCACTGATCTGATAAAAAAACGTAAATTACCGGCTGTGCAGAAGCTAGTGAAGGGACAGGATGATTTGAAACCCTGGGGCCAGGAGGCGAAAGCTAAGGTTTTCTAAGAACTTTACAGTTACTGCTGTATGTTTATGTACTTGTGAACAAACATGTTGCTTGGGGACAGTAAGTGGTTATCTATTTCTTTTTCATGAACTTTGTATTAACGAGGTATTACTTCCGTTCATTTCTCAGGTGGGAAGCCGTCTGATTGAGTTGTTGATACAAACTGCATACATACAGCCTCCTGCTAATCAATTGGCCGAAGATCCACCTGATATACGGCCTGCATTTGTGCATACGTTCAGGACTGTTACAAGAGATAAAAAGTGAGGGTTCGTTTTTCCTTTCCTTTTTGGTGATTGTCAATGTAGTTCAATCTTAAATAGGCATTTTTCTTTTAATCCCAGGAGTTCCAGCAGAAGATATGGTCTTATCCAGTGCGACCCATTAGTTCTCAAAGGCCTGGAACGAACAGTAAGTAAATGCACTTCTCATCTCCCATAGGATAATGCTTCCATGCTACTCATAGATTTTTCCTTGGGGAAAGGAAGTTGTAGGTTTTTACTTGTGAGTTGCTTTTTAGGCCGATCTTCTTCTTTTTAGGATGTAAAATGAGTTATGTTTCTTCATTTTCAATGAATAATATCTTTGCTATTTGAGCAGGCAAGACATATGGTGATTCCATATATGCCGATGTTGGTACCACCCGTCAAGTGGACAGGGTATGTTTTCAATCCGACCTGATCAAATTTGCGTTCCTTTTGATTGCATGTTTCATTCTGAGGTGACGGTTTATTGACAATGGCATTCATCCCCCCCCCCCCCCCCCCTTCTCTCAGTTATGACAAAGGGGCGTACTTGTTCTTACCTTCTTCCGTCATGCGCACGCATGGAGTTAGACAACAACGTGAAGCGGTTAAGAGGGCCCCTCTGCAGCAACTTCAACCAGTATTTGAGGTTTGCGAAAGACCAAATATTATTTTGATTCATTAAGATACTTATATAGAGGAATGATCCAGGTACTATTAACATCTTAGTGTCATCATGTCCGTTGCACATTTCTAAATATATGAAGAAATGTCTTCACAGCTCCTTTGATGACTATTCTGTTGATCGGTTGTTATAACAAATTTTACAGGCTTTAGATATATTAGGGGCTACTAAATGGCGTGTCAACAAAAGATTGCTTTCTGTTGTGGATAGGATATGGAATAGTGGGGGCCGCCTTGCGGATCTTGTGGACCGTGATGATGTAAGTCATATGAAACTTATTTTGCTAGAACATTTATTCTGCACGTAACTTCTTCCTTACCAAACTATTTCCGAAATAAAGTGTCAGTTGAGAACAAGTTCCCACTCTTTGTGAACTTTGTCATGACAGATAGCTTTGCCGGACAAGCCAGATACTGAAGATGAAACACAGATAAGAAAATGGAAGTGGAAAGTAAAATCCACCAGAAAGGAAAACAGGGAGAGACATTCACAGCGTTGTGACATAGAACTTAAACTTGCAGTAAGAACACACTTTGCAGTCTCATTGAAAGAATAAAGAAAAAGAAAAAAAACACGGCTTTTGCAATTGATGCCAGCAGTTACTTTCGCCTTACAGGTTGCAAGAAAAATGAAGGATGAAGAGGGTTTTTATTATCCTCATAATCTTGACTTCCGTGGTCGTGCCTACCCCATGCACCCCTACTTAAATCATCTTGGTTCAGATTTATGTCGTGGCATTTTGGAGTTTGCTGAGAGTCGCCCCCTTGGGAAGTCAGGCTTGCGCTGGCTGAAAATTCATTTAGCCAATTTATATGCTGGTGGAGTGGACAAATTGTCTCATGAGGGAAGATTAGCATTTACAGAAAATCACTTGGATGACATATTTGATTCTGCTGACCTGCCTCTTGAAGGAAAGCGATGGTGGTTGAATGCTGAAGACCCATTCCAATGCTTGGCCGTTTGCATTAATCTCACTGAAGCTTTAAGAAGCTCTTCTCCGGAGACCTTTAGATCAAATATACCCGTCCACCAGGTGTGTGAGCAGTCTTCCATTTATCGGCTGCTTTTAGAAATTTTCTTGGCCCTTGCAACGCGATGGGAACACAAGCAGAAGAGATGTGATACTTCATGCACAACTTTGTGAATATTTTCTGAAGGGCAAAGAAGCACCAGTTAGTTGAATGCAAGTTTTAAATTGTTCAAAATACTAAGAGGAATTTAGGAAGCACGGTACTTAATATAAAAGAGAAAAAGGGAAATTGCGGTAACTGGAAGTGTATGGGAAGGGAAGTACCCAGATTGCTGCACCGTGTATGAGAAAATTCTTTGATGTTTTTATTTTGGTGAAATTATTGTCATTATGTTCTTTGTTGCTCAGTTTTGTGAATTGACAATAACTTGAACCAAATTTAGTCATTTCTTTTGAATGATTTAGAAACTGACACTTGTTATTCTCAGCGCAAAAAATACAATCCCCCCCCCCCCCCCCCCCTCTCAGATTAATGATTATATACTTGTCTAAATTATCGTTTTCTTATTTCTCTAGGATGGTTCCTGCAATGGTTTGCAACACTATGCTGCCCTCGGAAGAGACAAGGTAATAGCTCTTTCCTTTTTCTCAAAGTTAAGTATCAAGTTCTGGTGTCTGCTTGTATATCTCTGCAGATAGAAGATAACTCTAGATAACTCTTATAACCAAGAAGTAGTGTAGGCCTTATCGGTGTTATGGGTCAAATGGGACTCCCAAATTAAAGCTTTATGTGCGTTTTTGTATCAGTTATTTTCTATGCTTTGTACTCTCTTCTGTCCACTTTGATTATCAATGATTAGAACCTTAATCAGTTTAAAGTTAAAATAAGGCTTTGTTATGGAAGAATCCGTAGAACTTTTCTGCTCTTGTGATGGATATCATATTTGTTGTACTTCTGTTGATCATGCAAGTGTGGAATCACTTCCTGCTAAAGCAAAATATTGCCATGATGTCAGGTGTTCATGTTGCACCTTGTACCTCTCATTTTGGGTTTCTATTAGCACCTAATATTTTTAGCACATTGTATCACATCGCCTGGCCTTGTGAGAAGTGCATATATACTTGATGGCGAAGACGACCGAGACATCAGAGGATAAGGATAGTTCCTTTCGGTTGTGTTTGTTTATGCTCAATAATCCAAGATGGCTATCACATCTATGCTGCATGCATATGATTGTGTGATCTGGCTTTTATAAACCCTAAACCTCTTTGAGATTGATCAAGGAAAATTCTGCATTCAGTTGGGTGCAGATGCTGTCAATTTGGTTGCAGGAGAGAAGCCTGCTGATGTTTACTCGGGAATAGCAGCTCGGTAAGCCATTTTCATATTCATGCAGCCAGCCTTTTCTACTCCGGTGTTATATTTAAGGGAGCTGCACTTTCTCTGTTAAATACACATTCTGACCTGTTCCTGGACAGTATCTGCCACTTTGACTAAAGCTGTAATTAAATACTTTTTGTTAATTTCGTTGTAATTATTGTTTCTTAGAAAAGATTTAAGAAGTAGCTTATCATATTTACATACCGCCCAGCTTGTATGCTAGAGATTATGCTGGGATCATTATTTTCTAGCTTGCCTACTAGAAATTACACTTCGGCTCCGTTTGTTTTGCGGAAAATGAACAATTTGGAAAACATTTTCCTAAAAATGATCACTCGTATCTTTTTTAAAAATAAATGAACAAAAAATATTTTCATCGTCCACAAAATTGTTTAAACGTAAATTGTTGTCGATAATGAAAAAATTTTCAATTGACTAATTATTTCAAGCTATAAGAATAATCTTTTTCAGGAAAATGTTTTCCAAATGTTCATTGTCCGCGAAACAAACGGAGCCTTCATCAATCTTCCTTAACAAGTTGCATTGACGCGACAGTTGATTTTGGATGAATCTCAGAGAGTGAGTTATACTGTGTCATTTGTGATTTGACTAAAGTGGAATACATACTCTGTTTAAACCCTGAATATCGCCTCCTGTTAAAGGTGTATATCAGTCCCTTTCTATATACTGAGAATGAATATCATCAAATGAGCTAATTACATGCATCAGAAGCCATGCTGCTTGTGTTACCGGAATAAAATAGGTAATTCTGCCTTCAAAATCAATGCAGCATTCATTCACTGAGAAGATGGACTTATGTTTGTATAGACCATAATGGTGCAATATAATTTTCCCTATTTTATTTGAATCTAGAGGTTTCTAGGTCAATCTGTACTTAATTACTTAAGTTATGGTTAACTAAACTTCCATTTCCATTGACCCATGCATATCAAGTTATTAAAATCATGATGCAAATAATAGTTCTAGTTACTTGTTAAAAATCTTCACCCAATATGGAACAAATGGTCACCACTGATGATTTTAGTATAGGTTTGAGAATTTGTGGAATTGAAAATCAGGAATTGGAAGAAGAGGACAAAGCTTACTGTAAGTTCTATAGCCTTCATTACATTGCTGTGTCAGTATCAAGAGTTAACTGAACTAGTGTTTTCTGCTGCCAAGTACTTGATGGGTCTGTCTCGTATCCTCCAATCCATTAGAGGATCTGTTTATGTACCTTAATTGTCACCATGAGTTGAAGGATAGGTTGAAAAGGTGTGTATAATGTAATTATTAGGTAAAAATAATCTTATCGATGAATCTGAAGGGACGATGAGTGTGATAAAATAGAAGCTTTCTACTTTTCTGCCTTATATTTCTGTTTCTTCATGTGCATCTTTTTCCCGTGTTTTTTTTAATTAATTTTGCTGGAATATCTAGTGCAGTTAAGGTTCAAAACTATTAGCTGGTAAATGTTCTGCTTCAGTTTTGTCATTTGTTCTGTTTGTGTCCTCCATGTGCTCTCTTGATAAATATACTTGCAAATGGGATGATCGGATGTTTCCCCTGTGCAGAGTACTTGAAATAATGCAAACGGATGCAAAAAAAGATCCGGCTGTGTTTCGAGATGCATTGCACGCAAGAACCTTAATTCATCAGGTCCAGTCTCAACTTTTGGTTGGGGTTAACGATTAATTGTTCTGATAAAAGATGATTGTATGCTATTATTCTAATACATTCATCAGTTAGATGAAAGATGATAGGACTAGGAGTGCTATTCAGGTACTTCTGCCATAAACCTGATATTCTCTAGTAGTTGACAGCTGACGCTCATAATTGGGCATGCCAGGTTGATAGAAAGTTGGTGAAGCAGACAGTTATGACGTCTGTATATGGTGTCACTTATATTGGTGCGCGGGATCAGATAAAGAGGAGGTTGAAGGAACGTGGTGCGATTATGGATGATACAGAACTTTTCCGTGCTTCTTGCTACGCTGCAAAGGTAGGGGTGATTGTACTGTTTATCTTCGTTCAGTTTTGTTGCTGTGGTTGTTTGTGGAGCGACACTTGTTGGCTATTTGTAGTTATTGCAAAGCCATCTGAAAGTAAAATGAATTGATTGATTGATTGTTGGCTTAACATGGATATGGATTGAAGAAAACAATGCTGTTGGAATGACAATGCTGTGACATTTATGGTTGTGCAGACCACCTTAACTGCTCTAGGGGAGATGTTTGAAGCGGCAAGAAGTATTATGAGCTGGCTTGGTGACTGTGCTAAGGTCACTGTGTTTTTTTGTCCTTTTTCAATTTATACGAGTCTTCGTTGGTCACTGACTTCAATTTTTTTTTCCTGAGGCAGATTATTGCATCTGAGAATCAACCAGTTCGGTGGACAACTCCCCTTGGGCTTCCTGTGGTGCAACCTTACCGTAGAGTAGGAAGACATCTTGTGAGTATCTTTGTCTTTGTTTCTTTAATAAACTCGAAATATGCAAATCCCAATATGAAGTTTGAGTTTTTAAAAATTTTCAGGTTAAAACTTCACTTCAGATTTTGACATTGCAACGAGAAACTGAAAAGGTAATTGTTTTTCAATATTCCATCCCCTTCCTGCTGTAATTGATGTAGATATCCTTTGTTGTGACTATCTATGTATCATTTACCTATCATCTTGTACTCATCTAAACAAGAATTTTCACCACGATCTTGTTTGCTCGAGGATCTCTTTAGTGCATAGAAATCCTAAATATTGAGTATAAAGTAACTTGTCAGCAATAAGAATACTCCACTGGAGTTTAGCAGTCCTAGTATTACCATTTTGATGAGGTGTAAGGGAATTGATGGGGCATTAAGTCATTGACTAAAAGTTTAGGTATATTTGACATTTGCATGAACAATTAATCTTGCTATTGAATGGCCTTTCTAAATCTTAAGTTGTTAGAGAAAGACGGGGTTGATATTTGGGAAAAAGCCACCAAAAACCCCAAACTATGCCCACTGTGACACATTTACCCTAAATTTTTTTTGTGTGACACCAAAAATCTCAAATTTGTACCTGCGTGACACATATATCCTTTATCAAAGTACCATCAATGAACATTGTCAAAAATCTACCTACATGGACAACGGAAGGCAAATGGTGTTGATATGGCGCCCGCGTGACTTGAGCGAAATAAGAACAACATTGTTTTGGCTGGAAGCTTATCTTACGAAACCTTAACGGAGGGTAAATGTATCAAATGAGTATAAGTTTAGGGTTTTTTGTGTCACAAGAAAAAGTTATGGTAAATGTGTCACAGTGCGTATAATTTGGAGTTTTTGATGTTGCAAAAAAAAGTTAAGGGTAAATGTATCATAGTGGACATAGTTTGGGGTTTTTTGTGGCTTTTTCCCTTTATATTTTCTATATTTACAAATCTAATTGAAGAAACTATCTCGGAGATTCTGTAGGACGTGTAGATCAATTAGTGTGAGCAAAATAATGGAACTCGTAAGATAATCTTACATTTTTCTTGAAAGGATTGCTAGCCTGTGGGGTCATTCTACAATTGTCGGTTTAATTGCTAAGTCGTGAAATTATGCATCGTATAGCAATTTTGGCTGTGCTTTTCTGGACTATTAGCTTGAACAGTTACTTAGTTGAGGTTCCATATTACTATTATGAACAGCGCATTTAATGTGAAGAATATGATGAACCAAGCTCTCTCTCTCTATCTCTCTGCGCGTGCGAGGGGTGTTAGGCAAAGTCCCACGACCTATTCCAGCCATGCTTGCCTTTCAATGCTTTCATAATCAATTAATCATTTGAATGAGAAAGCAACCATTGATGCATCAGTGTGTCTCTCGCGGAATTGCTGTGCAAGTACCAATATTGGCGACGCATGCTTTCCAGTCTGGTTTTGCGAGCATTAATGCAGGCGCGCCATCAATTTCTAGCCATAGTAGGAAGTTCAGAATGTTAAATTTTTTTTTGTTTAGTACCTGTGCTATTCTATATTGTCCTGTCATTCTATTGTCTAGCTAAATATTTGAGGTAGTGTAGAGGTCGAGCCTTTTAAAGGAACAATCTGAAGTACCTTATGCCCTAGGATTGTGCTAAAGTGAGGCATCATCATTCAGCTAGTCAAATTTGATCAATTAGTGATGAAGTGGTTTTGGATTGGAGAAGGATATAGATCTACTGTCCCACAAGCCATGTCTACTCTGGTACGAAAGAAGATATAGGTGTTAGTACTCAATGAAGAGTAATTAAAAGTAGATCATTTCAGGATCTCCGCTTTTTTTAAAACTAGTTGTAAGTTGTTCAGAGGCTGAAAGTGACTACTATTGGCATCATTTTTGGGGTTTGGTGGTTAGTTGATGGTGGCTTCGTGATATTTCCCGAATAGAGCTTTTCTATGACTTGAAGAGAAGAGTTTTGGATATTTTGCAAAATTCGGAATGAGCAAGTTTTAGGATTACAACCTGAATCTTATGCGTTGCACTGGGTTTTTCCCTGTCTTTGCCTTCCTCCTTATTTCTGTGACAATCATGTTGAGTTTCTGGTTCTTGATTACAGCCAGGGTTTTCACAGATTTCACTTTTCCCATGATAATGTTGAGATTAAAATTGAGATCGAATTTTTTGGATTCTACCTTAGTTTCTGGCTGCTGGTGATTACTTGTAGGTCCTGACCAAGCGTCAGAGAACAGCTTTTCCCCCAAATTTTGTGCACTCTCTTGATGGTTCTCATATGATGATGACAGCAGTTGCCTGCAAGAAGTCAGGGTTGAACTTTGCAGGTTTTCCCCGAGTCTTCCTTATATGTGACTTCCTCATTACATATTTGCTACTAATGTGGTTTTGGTTATCAATTCATATGATTGCAGGGGTTCACGATTCCTACTGGACACATGCATGTGACGTGGATGAAATGAATAGGATATTGAGGGAGAAATTTGTCGAACTTTACGAAACTCCGATCTTGGAAAATGTACAGTATCTTCCTTGTTGGATATTCTTTATTTATCGAAAAATGGAATATCTACTTGGGAAAAAATCTTTTTTCTAGAGTTTTGATCGGAGTAAGTTGACCTTTTTTAAATTAACATTAGAAGCCTTGGAATATTATCATCTCATTTATAGGTCTGTTTTAAAAGGCACAGCATCTTGAAAGCCTGAACTGACCCTGGTAATCCGGTCTGATTTTTTCACATCATACCCAGTAAAATTTATGTGTGGAATCCAGAGTAGTATTTTTGAGCTAAACCAAGATTAATTTTTTGCTAATTGCTTTGCTGTTTCTTTTATTGTGTACAATCTCCCGGTTTTTTTAGTAGGCACGGCAAAGTTCTACACAGCACTGAAACTCATAGCACGAACTTGCTTAGTTGTGCATGCATGCATCAAAAGTGGACACTTGCGCATGCACGTCTGGGTAAGCTACACACACATGTTTTCCAACCCGTAAAGGAGAAACAATAAGGATAGTTGTTTGTTGGTTAGTCACCTGCAAAAGTGGAGCTCTTTTACTAGTCAGAAGCTGTCCCTTTGCATATTCTTGAATTGGAAGTCGTTATAAACATTGAAATCCAAATATATACACTTTTCTTATACATTCGTCAAATACGACCTCAATCATCTGATCCTTCTTTGTTTGGGTGCAGTTGCTGGAGAGCTTTCAGAAGTCTTTCCCTTCATTATCTTTTCCTCCTTTGCCTGAACGAGGAGACTATAATCTAAAAGATGTTCTCGACTCGCCTTATTTCTTCAACTAATCCAGTATGAGGATTTCAATTTGTACTCAGCTGGCATGGCCCTGTGCCCCTATGGTAGCAGCCATGTTGCGTGACGCATATCACTATAGTTTGACTTGAGGGTTGTCAAAAGGTCTCCTGTAGGAGTTCTTGCATCATGCAACGTGTACATCGTGTACGTGTCCGGAGCCATCGGATCTCTGTCCAGTTACTATGATATGTTGGGCCTTGGTATCGAATTACATCAGACTTCACCAGAAGTCAGCTGTCCTCATCTAGACAGGCATGAGTTGGATCTCAAAAACTTGAAAGTTCAGCCGCCTTATATGCATGGAGATACCGAAATCATGACACATACAAAACTTCCAAAGTGATGAGAGTACCGATCATGGGATGTCAGGCTTGACTTGGGAATTTGCGTCTTGTGGGGAATGTCAGCCTCTCTTTCTTCGGCCAGCACTGTGGATGAGATCCAGGTATTTTACTAGAGAAGCCAGGCGATCTACGAGGATAAGAGAACTCGTCCTGCTTTCCTGTGCTTAGGGACTGTCCCGCTACTATCTGTAATTGTCAAGTACATATGTTTAAAGACTTCTTGTGGTGCTCAGGACATATGCCATCAGTCACTCTCTCAATGTAAAGTGTAGAAAAAGGAGGAATAAGATTTGTTGTATCATGAAACTCATTGTTTTGTGCATATGTAAAAAGGTTAACAAATTTTGTTGGCATGAGTGAAAATCCAATTTCGAGTTGCGGAGGCCCTTTTCCCTTTCTTATGTTCTTTGACAAAAGTATCAGATGGTGGGGCATTGTAAACTACAGCTCTCGGTGAAACCGCTGGGAGAACATTTTCTGTTGATCTGTTCTGGCTGTTACCATATTTCCAGCTAATGCTCAGAGCGTGGAGTGTGACTTTGAAAGCCGGAATTCATTATGAGAACAAAGAGAGAGTCGCCGGAAAAAAAGTGTTTTAAGTCCCATTTTTGAGCCCGCGGGGATCGGGAAGTGGTCAGCCGTGCATGCAGTCAAAATTCAGCATGACCAGGCCAAGAGAACAAAATCTATGGCTGCTGATAAATTGCCAATTTCTCATTAACTATTTGCAAGTCTCATCCAAATTGACCGATTTTTGGCTAGTGCATGCTCTCGCACATATACCTTGCGGAGAAGCATGTATTTTAAAGGGCAACATCCATCACTGTGCCCAACTCTCATGGCTTTATGATTTTAGTCATACTATAAGTCTATAACCATTCATATTAGTTGCACTTTAAGATTGCAAATACATACCTGATCAAGTTTAAGATCAACTGCATGACATCCATAATTGATATTTATTTCATAATGCCTAGAAATAACCTGTCGCATCGCATTTGACTTTCGACATGGTTGCTCACAGCGATGAGCTCACCGGATCATTATTCGATAAGCATCCAGCATACCAAAGCTCGAACAAATATGGTAAGTAACTGAGAACATTTTCCACCCGCCAAATCGGGCAAGCATGTGGCAGTTCTTAAACACACATACATGCATGATACATGCAGCATTCCCTCATGAAAATTAACGTCGCCTTGTATTGTTTTCTCACTCAGTTAACGAGTTGGTACAGCAGACGCTGACCAGCCACTATAAACTTCCAATCCTTTAGAACACTACTTTGAGTTTTCTTACCACCACTATCTGTTCCTAAATATACTGCAGTTTAGTCTATAGAAAGGTCTAGCTACAGAACTGTCCATGTCACCATGGTATGCCTTGAGTTCATCCCAATTCCAACGGAAGAATCTGGAGAGTCTTAGGCATCTCAAGTTGCACTGCTCTATAATTGTTCATTCCAGTTAACTCCACCTAAATTCGCAATTCTTGCCAAATTATGTCTACTATCAGCTGTCATGTCTTTGTACCATCAACCTGCCTGCACCAGTACACGTCGCTATTTCTTGGAGTAGAAAGCATCATGCAAAGGCAGGGGGCAACTCTTCATCCATTTTACAACCATAAATAAGCACCACAATTCTCATTTTCCATCGGCAGGTTGAGTTTATGACCCCTTTTAGTTAGTAACTGCACAGCCATGATGATATTCAAAATTTAGCCAATGCTATCGCGAGATCCTTATGAATCCTAAATGCGTCTCCAAGCATATAAAGGTAAGCTGTGCTTCCAACATAAGTTCCAGACAGGGCAACCAAAAGCTGTATATCTCAGTAACCGTAACGATCATTCAATGAGGTCCGTCCATCACCTGATTGTCCTGCATTGGCAAATGTCTAGAAATTCAGGTTTTTCCAAATTGATATAATGAACTGGTAAGTAAAGAAGTGTACCTTCAGGAGGCACCCATGATTCATAATCCGAGCTAGCATTGAGAAAAGACGGCTTCTCGGGACCAAGAACTCGTTTAGGCTTTTTCACATCATTGCTGGACGGTTGTCCGCTAGACATATCTTCATTTCCTTCACCGTCCAATGAATAATGCCCTTTTTTATGTTTCAGTAACAATGCCACAGCATCCTCTACCGCAAGTTCAGATCCTCTAGCAGAAGAGCTAGAATGATCATTGGGTTTGTCTTCACTGCCTTCAGGTTTCCGCTTCCTAATAATGAGACCGCATGCACTTTCAATCCCTGAAGTGGACCTTGCGTGTGAATCATCACCAGCCAAAATTTTGCTCCTGTCTTTGTAACCAACAAATTGATCAGAATCAGGGATATCTGAAATTTCTGGCTCCTTGTGCGTTTCTCTTTCTTGAATATCATCTATGGCACCAAGCCACTGAGGCTTTACAACAGTATATGGAACAGCTTTTTCCTCCGCCTTATCCTCGAGGGTCTTCACATCTTCCAGCTTTTTGCTTGTTTTGGCATTTTGATTGATAGTTCGTTCAGATCTGGCGCCATTAGCTGACTTCCCCTGCTTATTTTTTTCTTTTGCTTCTGACGAAATATGCTTCTCAATAGGGGCCAAAGGATTATCAGAAGCAATAGATTTTGGTTCTTCCACTTTCAAATCTCTTCTTTTACTAGCTTCTCCTGTTGGATCAGCAAACTTCAAGAGATAGACTATCCGATCCAACTCAGACTGAAGCGAGGATATTTCCTTTTCGATATGCGTAGTTTTGTCAAGGACTGAAATAGAAACAGAGAACCGGCGACAAGGAAATAAGCAAGATGGTCTTAATCAAGTTGATCAAACAACAGTGCACTAAGAAACTTCCTTTAGTGAAATTACTTACTAAGCTGAGATGAAAGCCCAGACATGTAAGCATCAAGTGCATCTCCAGCTTCAGTTTCTGCTGCAGTATCTGATTCTATTTTCTTCTTCTCATTCAGAAGCAGCTCTTTCTTCTCTTCTATTTGTTTCCTGATTGCATCCCTCTTGTCAAGAAGAGTGTCTGCAGTTTCTATGGCTTGGCTTTGAGCAGTCTTAGGGACATTTGCTTTTTTCTTTGATCGGTCATAGTATTCATCGTCATCACTGAAAAAGAACCAAAAAAACATGCATTAAATTCGATGGTGCAGTCCCAGTTTTATTCCTTTGAAAGCTAATTATAGCCCCAGTTATCACTTGTTCTGGTTTTAATTCCCTTTTTACCAGCTAAATGGCAAATCTTCAAGTCAGAAAGAGAAGCTGGCAATTATGAGATACCTCAAATATTCGTCTTCGTCTTCAGTTGTTCCTTTGTTTGTGCCGTGGGATAACTTTCCTGTACGAGCGCCTAAACTCTCTCGTATGCTATCATTCAGGGTCTCTTCTAAGCTTTCAAGTTCTTCCAAGATCTACAGAAAAAGAAAATTGCAATGTCAATTCAAAGAAATGAAGGAAATATTTGCTTGCTAAATGACAAAAACTGAAAAATGATCACATCAAATTGAAAAGAACCAGACCAGTAATGTTTACATTACCTGAGTAATTCTCTGTTCATTACGAGCAATTTGAGTTTGTTGTCCTTGTGTTAGTCCGCCTTGAGAGATGTCTTTAGCACGAATAGCATCTATTTCTTTCTTCATGTGAGCAATCTACAGTTGAAAATAAATGGGGCAAGCAATCAGATTCACACATTACACAAGATAAAAAGCATTCCAAACTGTAGAGCTTAATATTTCAACAGTGACAACAATCTTTCTGTTGATCATATTTGATCTGCTAGCTACCACCAATTCTCAAAATCAAATGTCCAAACAAGAGTTGAAATTTATACACGTGTTTCGTTTGCTAGGAGTGAGTCGGGAAACTACACTGAAGCTAAGAATATTGAGGTTCTGTAATTTTCTTTTAAATCAAAAGCAAGATAGAATAAAAAAATGAGCAACCGCCAAGCAAATCATTTCGACAGTAGATGACTGTAACCATACTATATAACTCACACAGCACAGGATCAAAGATAATCAAGGATGCAGGCGAATCATTTTGACTATTGGATGGCCAAATCACATACTACGAAGCATATGGGTAAGCTTCACTAGTGGTCACTGAACTCCAGTCGATTTTGCAATCAGGTCAATGGATTTTGATCTCAATAACTCAATACACTAAACTTTCATTCTTTTTTCTTTTTTCAATTCATGCACTTTGATCACAATCCGGCCAATTCTCTAGCGACATACTAACATGGTGCCTCGTGACAATGACCAGACTTTGAGAAAATTGGTACATGTCTATCATGTAAGCAATTTGCCCGAATATTTGTAGTCAAAGTGCGTCAATTGCAAGAGTGAAACTTTAGTATACTAGGTAATAAAAATCAAAGTTTAGAAACCTGATTGCAAAATTCAACTAAAGTTTAGTGGCCATAGCAGAATTAACCCAATGCTTGCTCTACATATTTGATCACAGAATGACTTATATTCAGCTTGCACAACCTTCTAAGTGATGTAGGCCACATCGATCCTCTAGCTCCTTAGGCTCTAGTTGGTATCGAGTCCTCTATCGGATTTAAACTGTCTTACTTCTTTCCCCTACACAATGACCTTTTTCCCTGTCATAGAAAAACCATAGAACAAATTTTCCTTACCGCAATTTGGCCAAAAAATACATTTTCCAAAATACAACTTGAAGGATCCCACTCTTGAATTTAAGTTTTTGGATGTCACAAAGCATCACGCAGACCAAAAAATAAATGATGCTACCAAAAAATGACAAATAGCTATGTGATCTCTTCCAACAGAGTACACTTTAAGATCGAAAGCTGTGGTCATCTCAGAGTAGTTGATAATTTAAAAAAAAAAAAAACTAATCCCTCCTCTGATGATATTCTATAGCCTTTTCTCTTTCATGAAATGATCTCATATGCTTTCAAAGCATTTTTGCTCTCTAAAGGGTATTATAACCTGCTTCTCCTCGCTTGTGCTTTCTGGCTATGGTTCACTTTTAGTTTGGGCATGACCTTTATTACTTTAAACTGATCGCTCTTATTGTGCCTTGAGATTAGTGTTTAGAGGCTCTAAATTGATATAATGCATGCAAAATTCATAATGGACTAAAAAACCTGACTGATATTAGAAATTTAACGTCATGCTTCTAAAGCAATGGCATATGAACATTCCAAACACTAACAAAATTCATAATGGACTGAAAAACCTGACTGATAAGAAATTTAATGTCATGCTTCAAAAGCAGAGGCATATAAACATTCCCAACAATAACAAAATTCATAATGGACTAAAAACCCTGACCTTTTGAGTTCGTTTCAACACTTTTTCACGGGTTTTTTCCTGCTTCTCCGTGAGCTGCCCTTTGTAAGTTTGCCAAGTCACTTCCTCTGTATCATCCTGTCGCCCAGCTCATTTGTAAGTTCAATAATCAATCTTTTTTAGATTTCTAACAACAAAGCCTGAACTCAAACTTGATGAGAACTCAGGGAACCATTTGAACAACTCATCTGAATGCCATAATAAAAAACAGATTGAGCGCATTAGATAGAAGCACAAAAAACTGCATATCCTTCCATATTTTTCTGAAACTGCATATAGAAGGGCAAATAAGAGCTGCAAGCATCATAAGAAAAAGTAACTTCTCACAGACCTCCTCTTCTTCAACAGCATCCTCTCCCATGCCCCAGGAGATACCATCCGCAATATACACTTCCTCCTTTGCCCGTCGAAGAGATGCTTCCCTGTCTTGCATATCTTCTCGCATTTTCACATCTCTAATAACTTTCACGTCAGCCTCCTGTTAAAACGAGGAAAAAAATTTACACTTCCCAAGGGCATAACACAAAAACTGCATTACCACACTAACAGGAACCTCTATTCTCTGTTTTTGTGTAGTAAGGTTAAACAACAATAGTCATGAAGTTAAAAACGGACAATGTCAAGCGAATTAGAAAAGCTAAAGCTCGTTGAAGAAGGTATAAATGGATTAACCAAGTGTCCCTACTTTGTATTGATCTGGCATTTATATAAACATAAAATGGTCAGTTCCGCAGTCATTTGGAGCCAGCTCTGGCAGTGCGGACAAGCTACGTATTAAGTCTTCTTTTCCTGAATAATAATAATAATTCTTGGCAGGCATCACCAAGGATACTATCCGAAATAACTTCTTTTCTCCAGCACACTATTGGGCCCCATTGAACTTTTGTTCAGCTTCATAGGAGGCATACCTCTTTGCTGGGCCTAAAAGAAAAATTGAAAAGCTTCAAACAGTTCCAGATTGTAATGACGTTAGAACCCATCTGCCTCCTCCAATTGATTCATATACATTACATGTACACTTACTCAATTAGTTCAAAGTATTTCTCGCAGTGATTCTTCAGTCACATGTAATACCGATAACAAAATTACGCCTTTTTGGAATCCTGTATATTATTTTGATATCTCAAAATGTTCCGGCGGGTAGTGCTTTACCGAAGTTAATAATAAGAAAAATAAAAACTCTATCAGTATGACCATGGCACCAAAAGTAATAGAGAACAAACCTAGTAGCTTTCTTTCATTAATGTGCTATAGTGCTCAATTAGCGAAAGTCGTTAATCATATCAACGAAGGAAAAGTATAGAATTTGGAAATCTTACTGGTGGCATCAAGTCGCTTGGACCTTGGAATATGTACAGCCGTGAAGATCTGCACAAGCAAAGGAACAATAACGCTCATGATTGCGTCAAGCAAACACGAACATACACCTTAAGCATCAAGTGCCCTCTATTTTATGCTCCAGTATATCCATTTTCGTAAAGAAACGTGCCCTTTGTTATATCAATACACCTTGTCAAATGCAACTGAGGAGATTTGGCGTAAGGTAATCAGCTTAAAAGTAGATCTTATATGATATGTACATTCAGCAATAAATTATTGACACATACAAGACTTGAGATCAGTTCCTGATTATACTAATTATATCCACGGGTCCACCTGGCCTAGTTAGAACAAATGGTTCAGGCAACGAAGGCTAGGGGGAACATATAGAGATGGAAAATGATTGAAATTACAAGTAAAAAGATCGAGAAACTCACTGGCCAAATCGAATAACATCACCAACGTGCAAGTCCACGTATACTTTTTTCTTGACCTGTTTAAAGGCAAAAGAAAGACCTATTAAACAAAATTTGATAAGAATTGCTCCTATTGCCTAGTAGAAGCACGAAAATTTAAGTTTCTGCTGATGGTGAAAATTGATATTTCAAGAATATAAAACAGAGAAGTATCTGGAAACACCCATGAACAATTCAAAGTCTTTATCAGGTGGCTCTGAGAAACTTTGGGATCCGCAGAGCTACATCAAATAAAGGAAAGTTATGTACTCTAAAAAATTTCATACTGTCTTATCTCTTGACACGTCAGACTTTTGGTGAAATTCTTAGATACAACAGACAAAAAATATTTCGGCTGTTTTAAGATGAAACTTCCCACTATACATCACATAAACATACGATTCTTTTCGAAAATCGCTATGAATCAAATTACGGTTAATTCCTTCAGCAATTTCAAAGCAAAAAATTTATCGATAAAAACCATGGGATGCAATGCATACTTAAGAGAAGATATTATGCACTCTCTACAGCAGCAAATTGTCTCTTTTGTGAATAAACAATAAAACTGCACTTGAAGGGGGTCTTGAACCAGAGACATAAGGCATGCCATGTGCCTAGCAGCAATCCAACTTATGTACTGGTCGTGATCAATTGTCTGAATTAAGTAAAGAGTTACTTGCCACTATAGTACCTGGTTCTTGTTCACGAAGGTCCCGTGAGTACTCCCAATGTCAAATATATACGCATCTCCTTCCCCATTGAATTGCAGAACTAGCAAAAGAGGTGAAACCAAGCAGTCAGAAGAACACATCCTGAGCAAACATCTTTTAACAGCTCATTTACAAACTTAAGCCATAATTAAGGTCAGTCTTTAGCAATTCCTTTCTCCAATTGCCCTTAGCCAGCAAAAGATTCAAGATTCTTCAGCAGAACGGCATGGATGTGTCCACAAGAAATATTTTAGAGAAAACACAAAGAGGAATCGTCGCATTACCAGCATGGAATCGAGATACGGTGGGGTGCTCAAGCACGAAATCGCACAGATCTACCCGTCCAAACATGTACGCCCCCTTCTCGTGCCTAAAATCCCAAAGACGAACACATTTTGAATTCAGATGACGCGAAAAGAGCGTGGGGTAAATTGAAGGCTACTCGTAGGAACTCGCATCCACGACTCAAGGCACGACGCAAAGAGACTCACACGCTGAGCTGATCGATAATCGCGCCGTCCTTGAGCACTTCTAGGGAAAACTGGTGCCGAGGTGGCTCGCTCCACGGAGGGATCGCGTAAGGCACCGCGGCGCCCGGACGTTTCGCCGCGCGGCTCTCGGGCGCGGAGCCGTCGTCAGGATTCGAGGCGTCGGCGTCGGGGTCGTCGCTGGCGGCGGAGGAGGGTATAAGGTTTCGCGGAGGAGGCGGAGCCATCGGAGCGACCGAGGCGGAGGAGATCGTCGAGGCCGCGGCTGCGGCTGCTGCTGCTGCTTCTTCTTCTTCTTCCGGGAGAGTTTCGGGAGCTTCCGGTTCGGCGGGCGGGTCGGGCTCGAGCTGAGAGGCCCTCGGAGGCGGAGGACCCATGGCGGTCGTCATGGCGGTTGCGGCGAGAGAGAGAGAGAGAGAATTGGAGTGAGAAAGTGGCCGTGCGAGATGAGCAGGGCGGTCTGAAGCTTTGGTTGTGGCGACGGGAGACCGACGTCGGCCGACGGCGTCCGTAAAAATGAAAATGTGCTCGGACAAGATGTCGTCCGAGGTTTGCATGGACTAGAAGTGAGAAATATTTGTTCTTTTTCATGTGTATTTGTTTGGCGAAAAATACATAATATGAAAAATATATATTTTTAAAATAATTACTCAGATCCATTAAAATAATTAATCAATAAAAAAATATTTTTTTATCGACAACAATGTCATTATTATCCTCTCTCGCGCCTTTTAACACTTTATTGAGATGTGATTCATATTCCTTATTGACGAGAACGCATAAGGGTCTCGCTCTCCAGTGAACAAGCAAGGCTCGGAAGTTGCTCAGTGCGGGTCGTAGGAGGTCATGGCCTTGCGATGCTAGAGGGTTTTTGTAATTTGGGCCTATATTTTTTTGGCAGTTTAAACTTGAATCCATGAGTAGCTTACGAGTGATCTTTATACATTTTCTCTCTTGTAATTAAGAATTGTAACAAAGAAGTGGGAGGTTATTCTTGACGTAGCTCTAATTTAAGGGTGGACCGAAATAAAATCTTGTATTTTGATTTCTCTTTCTCACTTTTTATTCTCTATTTTATTGTGTTTGTACACCTAATCCTAACACCGCTCCGCGCCACTATCCTTCCCTCCACTTTTGCGCCTTCTCTCGAGTGTTCTGTATTACCCCCGTGACACCAGGTCATTTGAATACAGCGTTTCGTCCTCCCGCAAGAGGAAGTCATGTGTCTATCTCATGGTCGAGACTGTTCCTTTTTCGGAGTCGGGATGAGTCACAACAATTCGCGCGTAATTGATCGATCTGAAACGTAACTTATCGTCATACTCTTATAGCTTTGCACGATAACATCATAAACCCCCGAGAGTCGCATTTGTTTCGGGCACGAGGTGATGATAATACAACAAGGGTCTTCTTGAAATGTTTAGGATCTACAAAAATGTGCACGAATGTGAAAATTTGAATGTAAAGTAAAGAAGCATTTTGGGGAGCGATTATGTGAAAACACAAAAATCGAAACACCTGAGTAAAAATTAAACGAAATACATAAATAAATGTAATAAATGGAAAATAAAGTGAAACAACAGGGAACGAAACGAAAGCATAGGGGATGATTGACGGAGGAAGCTGGAAGCAATCGCGGAGTCGAGCAAAAGTCGAAGAGATGGAGGAGGAAGTGATTTGATTCGTAGCGACCCCCGAAAGAATCGCAGGAGAAGATGAAGGCAGGAAGCGCCGCGAAATTGATCGTCGACGCTCTCCTGCAGCGGTTCCTCCCGCTCGCTCGCCGTCGCATCGAAACTGCTCAAGCTCAGGTCAGTCACTGCTCCTCTTGCGCGCCCCCCCCCCCTCGCTCGCTCGCTCGATGCGTTCGGTTTGCCCGGTTCTTCGGGCTGAATGGGGTCCCGATTTGAATCGGAGATGGCGTTGTATTCGCCGTGACCGATGGGGGGGTACGGAAGCTTGCAGTATTCGTCAAAATGCCGGCGTGATGCGGCCGAAGCTGTTAGGTGTCGAGAAGTGAACCGGTTGCGGAATCGTAGGGCTTTGTCGGAAGTTTAGGTCGTAGAGAATGTCTGTTGAACTGTTAAGGAAGGGGACTTGTCGAGTGAGAAAGGTGTTGTGGAAGGCCTTATTGATGAGGGACAAAGGTGAAGTATTTGGCAAATTGTGGGTTTTAGGTCTCGGTCTCTCTTGGGTGGCGTAATAGAGGTCCCTTTTCTCTGCTAGTTGTTCGTGTGCCTCAAGGTGAGGCGGTATAAGATGGGATCCTTAGGCATAAATGCGGGTGAAACGAGCGACGGCTGCCTGGTTTTTGCAAGAGTGTTAAACTGGTTCGTCTAGCTATAGCTGATTACGGCGAGCTGAGTTCATTTGTTTGGATTGATGCGGGCACCATTATCTCCGAGGCGCATGCTGATAGACGGAATTTCCTGCTGTAGCACTACTGGCTTTCTCTGTCATCCTCTTTTGACCATGGGGAATGGATTTTCTTCCAACAGCATAACGGCATTAGCTGCCGAACGTTTAGGTTTGATGGTATGTTGAGTTTTCTCGTAATTTGTATTCACAGGATGGGCAGTACCTTCGACCATCAGATCCAGCCTATGAACAAGTACTCGATTCATTGGCTATGGTTGCACGGCATACGCCTATACCTCTTCTGGAAGCCCTTCTTAGATGGAGAGAAAGGTACCTTCTCATTTCTTCGTCAAGATAATTGACCGCGTTTGCAAATGCATTATGAGATGTCTTTAGGGACCTAGCGTGTGAATATTGTTAGTGTCCGTGTCTTCATGACTTCATAGACATCGGGTGACTGAATTTTGACTGATCACATGCAAAGACTCTAATTGTTTCTCTTAATATAAATTATCTTTAAAAATGAACGTCATCCTATCCAAGATGAAGAATGAATTTGAGTATTAGTATTATGTGTGTGCTTGTTGTTCCATCTAGAAAACTATTGAGCAAACCCGTGTCCTGTTACAATCAAATATACTTTGGGTGCAGCCTTTTTGAACAAAAGACGGGATCATCCGTTGATGCAAGCTGAAGTCCACCCAATAGACTAATCAGCCATTTTCTATGGGCTTCGCTGCACCTCTCTCTCTATTTCTGCTTTTCGTTTATGTCTAGATGGTGTCACAGAGATTCGATGTATTTTTATCTGAAACCTGTTTCTCTTAAATCAGTTGAATTTTGAAACAGAAAGAATGAAATGTAAAAAAACATTATTCCAGTCTACTTCTTTTCTCTCTTCTTGTTACAAGCCACTATTGTTGCTTCTTTGATAATTGAGCCACCATCTTTATGATTATTGTCGTCCGCTTGTCCTTTACCTAGTCCAGCAAGTGGGGCTTGTTTTTGGGTAGGCAGATTAACGCTGGACCAGCTGATCTGAGCGCATGCTTGTTGCCGTTGTGGCAAATAATTTACTGAAAGTAATTTACACGTGCCCTTTCAAGAAAGTGTTCATTTGTAGTTGGTGGGACTGACATCCATGTCCTCTTAGGAGTGATGCCACGCCTTTGCCGACTCATTTTGAGCGAAGTTTCTGTCAACTTTTGCATTAAATTATATATAGTGAGAATTTTTCTTGATGAACTTGCTAAAAAAACCCTGGGTTTAACTGTTTGAATAGGTTAAACCACATACTGATTGGCCATCTGGTATGAACACCAGGACACTTTCAAAACACTGTGTCGAGAGGAATTGCAGACATGTCATACCAAGTTTGCGTTGTGCTTAGTTGGAAGTTTCATTTTTTTTTTGTGTGTTCAGCCAAGTCAAAGCTAGTACATCTTTATTCTGTGTCATATGTCATTGAAAGTTGTAAGGGTAGCTATATTGTGAATGATAGTTCAAAGAGATTATCAATCTCCTTGAGGTGTTATAGTAGCAAACTTAGAAAGGTTAAGAACTTGTCACTTTTTTCATATGCTGTGATATGGGTGAAATAAACATTTTCGTTATCTTATTGCTTATTATACTCTTTCTGGATTTCTTTTTCAGTGAGTCCCCAAAAGGTGCGAATGATGCATCTACTTTCCAGAGGAAGGTATTGCTTCTATTTTTGACATTTCAAAATCATTTGTGACTAATTACCGTTTTTCCCTACAAAAAGGATTTTGTTGCATGTGATTCTATGTGTGCTTGTGCATGCTCATGGACATGCATGCTAGTGCACTTGCTTGTCTTTGCACATGCATGGCTTCTCTAAATATCACAGTTTAAGAACGAATATATGTCTCTTTCTGAAATTTGATTGGTTGATGGATTATCTCAACAAATGTGATACTCAACTTCAAACTGCCTTTGCATTGGACAATACCTTGTAATGCGTGAAAACAATACTGAAATACTACAAGTTCGTGTTCCCTATCTTCAACACTTATGTGTATTAATGCCACCGTCTTGAGTTTTGTGATGACTGCGTAATACTTTCTCCTTCAGCTTGCAGTGGAATGCATCTTTTGCTCGGCATGTATTCGGTTTGTAGAATGCTGTCCTCAGGAGGGACTCACAGGTTTTGTCACTCTTTCAATTTCTATTTTGGTTGTGATGGTGTAACAAATTGCTTATGTGTCACTATATCGTTGTTTGTATTGTTGCTCTTTTGCTAACGAACTAATTTGGTGGAATTGTTTTCATGGCAGAAAAGCTTTGGAAGGGGCTTGAAAACTTTGTTTTTGATTGGCTAATTAATGCCGACAGGTGAGGCTTCGCTGTAATGTTTATATTAAGGAACTATGACAATTATAGGCGCCCCCATCTTGTAGAAGACCATCTCAATTTAGAGACTTCGATTACTGATGTGCAGATGATGCTTTCTGGACCTTTGACCTAGGTTTACATCTTACTTTCTGTATAAACTTTGTATCATGAAAATGTGCAAATTGAGGCAGCAATTTTCTGGTGAAAAATATGGTTTGTATTATTAATGTGAGCACAAATCGTGATGATTTCAATCTGTTGTTTTAGGCAAGATCTACTATGAGTGTAAATTTTGTCTTTCCAGTTTTCTTTTCAAATCAAACTGAGCCAAAAGTTTTAATTTGGATAGTTCCAAACTCAGAACGAGAAACCGACTGAAATATCAACTGTTGAACCGATTGACTTGTAGCAGTTTGACTTGTTTAATGGTTGAGCCTTTGTTTCTCTCTCCTTTTAATCTTGTTTTGAAGTTTCTTTCTTTGGCCGAAAGGCAAAAGAAGTTATATTGAGAGAGAGAGAGAGAGAGAGAGAGAGAGAGTGGAGCGCGGAGAAAGGGGTTGGAAATGATTTGCAAGTTAGACTGAGGAGTTAGTCTGGTTTGTTGAAGATGAATGGAATTAAGGTTTTCTGATTTGAGGAAGACAAGATTGGAGTTTGCATGTGAAAGTGAGAATCGAGAGGTGTCAGAGCGCCCATTAGGTTTCTTTGGCAGTGTAAATTTATACTAGTTGTTTGTTGCAAGTTGGAGTGATAAAGTGCATGTATGGAAAATGGTAAAAAAACACAAAAATGTTGAC